CTTCACCCACTTTGGCAAATTATGTCCCCAACAGCCTTCCTCACTAGAGGTACCATTGCCACAGCAGCATCCCAGCACAAGGAAGTAGGTGACGCATCCCCTAGCTAATAGGACACCCAGGTGCCCACATTGCCCTCTCCAAGGCCCAGATTTGTTTGACCTCAAAGACCCATGCCTTTATCCACGAGGCTGCTTTTAATTATAACATGAGAATGCCTGACTCTAAGTGGGTTAAACAAATAAGGGCTTTAAAAACTACCATTACAAGAAGATCAGAGATAGATATATCTATATTTTACATGGAATCTTTCCCTTTTTAAATGTTAGCATGTAATTCAACTTTTTAAAACATAGTCTAGACCATGACCTGCTGGCCAAATATGACCTAAATCTTCAGGATGACCAGGCAGGGTGTGGGGGGATCCAGGTCCTACCTGCTCCTCTCCCAGGCTCACTGCTGCCCCCGACACCCCCAGTTCCCCTGGCTGATGCTGTTCACAGCCACCACCCATGCCTGCACACGTTCAGTTCTGCCCACCTCCCTAAGTTTGTTCTGATGGCTTCACACAGAGGCAATGATAATTGTAATAGCTCACATTTGGTGGATAGTTATCATGTGCTATCAATAGTCTATGCATTATCTCCTTTACACCTCACAATTTACCTATGAGGCAGATACTGTTATTATTCCTGTGTTTAAAGAAACTAAGGCACAGAAAGGCTCAGTAGCCTGTATCCAGTGAAGAACAGCCTACTACTGGTGGATCTGGGACTGAAACACGAGTCAGTCTGATTTCAATGCCCACACCTTTAACTGCTGTATCAATTAGGATGCTTCGAGTTGTAAAATCAGAACACCTGACTCCAAGATTAAACAATTAAGCCTTTTTTTTTTACCATGTTATAATAAGACCAAAGTTAGAAGGTTGCAGGGTTAATTTAGCAGCTAAACATCTCTGACACCCCGCGTCAAAAATGTTTCTTTAAGGTCACCAAAAAGAGGCTGCAGCAGCTCCAAGTGTTCCAGGCCCTCAAGTAACTTCTCAGTTTTACCCAACGGCAGAGAGTTTCACCTCAGGTCTATCTCTTATCAGGCAGGGAAACCTTCCCCCAGAAACCCCACATTAGACATCAACTTATGATTCATTCTTGAAATGTGTCATGGGCCTAACCCTACCTCAATCACTGGCAAAGGGGACTAGGATTAGAATAACAAATTATGATTCAGTCTCTGAGGCTGGACACGGCCACCTCTATTAGCAGAGAGGAGGAGGATCTGGCTGTGAGGTGGCCAGCCAACAGTGTCTGCTCCGACGACTGGCAGTGGACCAGTAAATTTCACAAAACCGACAAAAAGTAACAGGAACAGAATCAGAACAAGAGGGTTGTTCCCACCTAAATGATGAGGCAGGGCTGAGTGCTAGCTCCCAAACAGAAATGTTCGTGAGCCGGAATGTCTCATTTCCTGAGAGTTGTAGGTAACTTAGGTGTTGTTATAATCATGTGTACTTGATCACTGCATAGCATGATGTGGCACACGGGGGAGCTCAATACATTTTGTTTAAAGACAGAGACCAACCTAAGGGGTTAAGCAAACTTTTCTTTCACGGCAAGATTCGGTAACCCGTGTCTACAGAAATAAGGAGAGATATTTATAAAACATGAAAGAGTGATGCATTGCTCTTCTCTTTGCTAAGCTCATTCACTGGCCCCATTCAAGGACTTAAAGATGTCTTGGCAGGTTAGTTCACCCCCAGCTTGTGGACCACAGACTCAGAGCCCCAACTAGCTAACCGGCTGATTTTGTGCTTTTCTTTCCTTATGTATTAATTACAACAAAGGTTTTTAAAGACTCATTTCTCAACTGAAATTTTTTCACTTACTTTTTACCATAAACTTTCCAAAAAGCTTCCCTAAAGTATTGAACAAGATGGTGCCTTATCTAATGTTGCTCCCCTGTCGCCGTCACATTAACCTTAAGGACTCATCACCAGCTGGAATTGCCTCGTTCACTGGCTTAGTGACTCTTTCCCCTACAATAGATGGTCCATGAGAACTAGGACTTGTCTGCCTTTTTCACTGCCATACCCCCAATGACAAGGACAACGCCTGCTCAGAGTGGCCTGCAATACATGCTTGATAAATGAATGACTAAATCCTTAAGTTAAACAGTGTCTAGGGGCAGAATATAAACCTGTCTTAACACCTGTTTTGCCAGTGATTTTAAGGTTTGTATGCTACTCTGGTTCATGCCTCTAATAAATCAATTAGAAAACAAGATTTCTCCCATTCACTTGGAAATATAACTGTCTTTTCTGCATAACCCTTTTAATTGCATGTGCTTATTGAATTAATAAGATTGCATTCAGTCAAGCCAGACTCTGGGGATGTTTTCAAATGCTTTGAATTTCTCACACAGACAATACCTACCTGCTTTTCTCCCTAAATCTTACCAAGCTGGAAAATAAGTTTCATATCTGAGAGCCAGAGATAGCCCAAGAGAATATTCTTTCTATCTCAGGTCTTTGTCACTTTAGGAATGTTAGGGAAACATATCTTTATTTCTTCTGCACTCTAGTTCACCTTCATTCCAACAGAGAACAAAATCTTTCTATTTATTTTCCAAGTGACTTCTCATGGTTTGAAAATGTCTCACATTGAAAAGTCAAGTAAGGAAAACAAGAGAGAGAGAATAAGAAGAGTTATCGTGAATGTGAATGAGAAAATTATGATTTTTATTGTTCTCTCTGTTCTGAAATGGGAAGATAGAATCCTGGGAACTGATCTCTCTTCACCCCACTCTCTCTGGAATGTGCTTTGCAAGAGCATGACAGTAGAACCTGGTTCTGGTCTTTTTATCCTATTATTCGCACAGCTAAGGATATGGTTTAGATATATGTCCCCACCCAAATGTCATGTTGAAATGTAATCCCCAGTGTTGAAAGCGGGGCCTGCTGAAAGGTGTCTGGATCATAGGCACAGATCCCCTTGGTGATAAATGAGCTCTCGCTCTGAGTTCACAAGCGATCTGGTGGTTTAAAAGTGTGTGGCACCTCCCACCCACTCTCTCTCACTTGCTCCTGCTTTCGCCATATGACATGCTTGTCCCTGCTTCACCTTCTGCCCTGATTGTAAACTTCCAAGGCTTCATCAGAAGCCAAGCAGATGCCCGCTGCAATGCTTCCTGTACGACCTGCAGAACTGTGAGCCAATTAAACCTCGTTTCCTTATAAATTGCCCAGTCTCAGGTACAGCAATGCCAGAATGGACGAATACAACCACTAACAGAAAAACCCTATCAGAATCTCAAAGCCAAGAGTAAGTGCATCAGACTGTATTCCTGCATGGTGAGATATATCCATGAAAAAAGTAAAAAATGGCTAACTGTACTGCCACACATGAACTGTGGAAGAATGTTTGGGCTATTACTATTCCTTAATGGGAATAATACGTATATGGCACATTTCTTTTCTTTTAGAAGCTGGTGTCAGCATATATTTATGTCCTTTAATTTATTCTTCCCTTACAAATTATTCTTTTCTGATATTATTTTCAGAAAGAATTTGCTGTAAGAACTTACCATTTGCCTCTCTTCACTTCATTTTTACTATTGCTTTCTGTACTAACTGGGTGATAATGAATGTGATGTTAAAAAGTACAATCACCATATACTTAGCATTTTAATTTGTTCCAGACCCTATTTGTTAAGGCCTCACAACTACCTTTGAAGGTGAGGGATCATTAGCTCCATTTTACAGAGGTGGAAACTACAGTTCAAAAGGTTGAATTGTTGCCCAAGGTCACACAGTCAGAAGCTTCAGAACCTGGATTTGAATCTAGAGACTGTGACTGGAAGCCTCACCCTCTGCAGGACACCAAGCTCAGGCCCAGGATGGTGCTTCCATTACAGAGCGTCACTATGTGCCAATGTGGGGCCCAGTCCTTGAGCTAAATTATTTTATTTATTCTTCAAAACAAACTTACAAGGTGGGTGTTACCACTCCCATTTAGCCACAAGAAAACTGAGCACAGGAAGTTAAATAACTTGATTCAGGTTATAGAACTAGGAAGGGTGAACTACAAAGTATACTCTGGCCCATCAGCTTGAAAGCCCTTTCTCAGGGCTCCTGGCAGAACACGAACAGGTGTGAAGAAGAGCAGACCTCCCCGCCCGCAGCAACGCTTTGCTAAAACGGGATTTGCAAGAGTCATAAGAACATGATATAATATTTATCAAGTAAGACTCTATGGAGTCCCAGCCCTAAGTCCTAGTCCCCTCCATAAGGCTGTGTGTGTGTGTGTGTGTGTGTGTGTGTGTGTGTGTGTGTGAACATATAAAATAAAGATACTCTTAGATACTGAAGGAGAAGACTGGATTGTCTGTAGCTACTTTTAGAGTCACTGAACATAATGCTTCTCATTTTTCAACCAAAACCACTAATAATATCTTAGTTTTTTTTTGTTTTTTGTTTTTTGTTTTTTTTTTGAGACGGAGTCTTGCTCTGTCACCCAGGCTGGAGTGCAGTGGCCGGATCTCAGCTCACTGCAAGCTCCGCCTCCCGGGTTTACGCCGTTCTCCTGCCTCAGCCTCCCGAGTAGCTGGGACTACAGGCGCCCGCCACCTGGCCCGGCTAGTTTTTTTGTATTTTTTAGTAGAGACGGGGTTTCAACGTGTTAGCCGGGATCGTCTCTCGATCTCCTGGCCTCGTGATCCGCCCGTCTCGGCCTCCCAAAGTGCTGGGATTACAGGCTTGAGCCACCGCGCCCGGCCAATAATATCTTAGTTTTAAAGCCAGACACTCCTTGCTGGTCCGTTCTATAACCATTTACATGACTGTGTCCAGAGAAGACCTTTCACATGTCTTAGTTTAGATTCTTCAAACTCGCCCAGTTTACCAAGCAGAATAATAACTACAGCTAAATGGAAATTAGGGCCCAGCACAGTATTGGGCAAAATTGAATATTTATAGAATGGTTAAATAAGCCACAGATGAAATATCAAGTTGTCAATGTAATTTATGTAACTTTTATTTTCATATAATTTCACACGCACAGAAAAATACCCATATACCTTTACCCAAATAGCTACTCATTAACATTTTGCCTCATTTGCTTTATCATCAATGTAATTTTATAAACAGAATAATGTATAATAAGACAATTCCATAGCAATTTATAATTAGCCAATAAAAATAAAATGATTTAAACTCAAGCTAAAAGGAACACCATTTTGCTGCCAGGGCCAACAAGTTTAAATCCAATTCGCAGGCTTTGCATTGGAAAGCATATTGGATTTAGCCAAGTCTAAAGCCCACATGGGTGATGACCAATGTCAGAACCCCTAGAAATTTCCAGTGATCTCAGTGACATTCATTTTCATGTGAGCACACTTTTCAAAGGAAGATCACTCTAACAGCCTTTAAAAAAAGAAGTTGTTGTTAAAGCAATATCTTACAACAAAACCCATAAATGAAAAAGTTGTCCTACCCCAAACAGTAATCAAATAGCAACAATAAACCTCCTAAATTGTCTATCAATATGGCTACCACCACGAAATCTCTGTTGTAGCACTTCAATCGCCATTCCCCCTGAAATAATAACAAAGCACTTCATTTGTGTATTCAGTATTCCCCAAAGCTAACTATGAAAGACCTACATCACCTCAAAACCTTCCGTTTGGTTCCATAGATCCTGCCATGTCACATTCTTGTAACCAGCTGCAGGGCCATCTTGTTATAACTGGTTCAGGTCCTGCTAAAGCTGAAAGGTGAAGGGCTAAAAACAGTCCTGGCAGAGACTCCAGGACACCCCGGCACAGGCTTGTTTGAGGACATTGCCTGGGTAAACAGCCTCCCCTGAAAGTGTTCAGTGTACAACTCTTCGCAGAGCAATCGCTCAGATGGGTGGCGGCACACAGACATGTCCCTTGGCTTCTCTCCTTGTCTCTGTTCCCTTCCTCTCCAGCCAGTGCTTTAGAAACGCTTTATTCCCATTGTCCACTGAAAATACAACCTAGATTCCTTCAGTAAATATCTGTTAGGGAGGTTACATGAAAAGATTGCTCCAACTCACTCTTGCTGGTGGGCTCCCAAGGGTAAAATAATATAGTTCGTGTCTTCTCAGTCATGAGGAAACCGTTGTCACTAAATCTCCCTGGGATGCTGCCTACATCCAACCAGACAAAGGGAGCGACAGCTGAGGTCTCCAGATCAAAAACAAATATGTCACCTTGCTGAGAGATGATGGCCTGAAAAAGAAAAAAAAAATGAATGAAGTGAAGGATGAGGGAAGAGTGATACAGTCTGTATAAGTTCCTGGAAACATTTATGTGGGCCTAATAAGGAGTGCATTGCCCACAACTTTGGTTCTACAACTGCTACAGTGCAGTTTCAAACACATAACAATACATGGAAAATGACTATAGGCTATGGAAAGTTACCAAATTATAATCACAAACCAAGGAAATACATCATCTCCAATCATTAAGGAGAATATTTCACAAGAAGCTCAAAGCTCTACATCTTTTACAGTTTTTCTCAGCGTATCATCAAGAGAGCAACATTTTTACATACAGCCTGGGTGGTTTTAATGACTTTCTAAGGATATATCTGGACCTAGCTACAGAGCCCAACTGTGGAGCTTACATTCGAGTCTTCTGAAAAGATCCAGAAATCTAGAAAGCCCATTGCCAGAAATTTACAAAAGCTCTACCATTAGAGCTTCTCTCTTTTATTGCATTGTTAAGCCACATTATTGTTTTTTTTTACATGTGTGAATTCCACAAAATAGCAGCAAAAAGAGAGAGTGCAATTTAAATCGTGTCAGCTCCATTCCACTTAATTAGTCGAATAGCATATGCCCACAGTGAGGATGCGCTGCTCCCCAGGGGAGGCGGGGCGCGGTTTGCAAGCGTCTCTTAGTGTGAGCACGGAGCTGAGTGCAACCTGGTTTCTTAATGTGTGCATTTGTGATGCAACATCTCAGTCTTACATAATATGTTATGTGTGACATAAAGAATTTCAAAGGGCCTTTTTTTTTTTTTTTTTTTTTGAGACGGAGTCTGGCTCTGTCACCCAGGCTGGAGTGCAGTGGAGCGATCTTGGCTCACGGCAAGCTCTGCCTCCTGGGTTCATGCCATTCTCCTGCCTCAGCTCCAAAGTAGCTGGGACTACCGGAGCCCACCACCACGCCTGGCTAATTTTTTGTATTTTTTTAATAGAGATGGGGTTTCACCGTATTAGCCAGGATGGTCTCGATTTCCTGACCTCGTGATCCGCCCGCCTCGGCCTCCCAAAGTGCTGGGATTACAGGCCTGAGCCACCGCGCCCGGCCCATTTTCACTATATATAATTTAGCCTCACATATTTGTGTAATATGTTATCATTCAGGGTTCTGAGTTATAAACAAGGAAACCTATATTGATAGAAGCAGAAAAGAAGCTTAATAAAGTGCATCGGGTAGCTCTTCAGCCTCAGAGATTCAGGCTTGAATTTAGATGGCAAATTCCCAGATCACACCGCCCAGCTGTTCCAGTGAAGGTCCTAAAGCAGCCACAGGAACAAGGTCCATGTGGCTCATGCTAGCCTGCCCAGGAAGCTGCGAGGGTAGCATCAGCTTCTGCTGGAAGACCAAGGCCGAAAGAGATGCTGGTGCCATGCTCACGCTGGTTATCTTCTTGGGACTGGAAATCTCCTCTCTGTATGTCTGACTGCAGAGCCTGGGGTTCAAGCTTGTACCCTGGCTTCAGGGAGAGGGGGAGAACAAGTTTCTGGCATCTCCCTTGAGAAAAGAAGCCAAGTGCCTAGTCTATATTAACCCCGAAATAAACATTAACAAACATGATTATTACTATCATTTTATCTCTTTAAGAAGGACAAGCCTCACTGAAATCAAAATGAGGTAAAACAAAGAAAGAGCCCTGCTTTTCTCCCACCCCAATTTCCCATCTCAAGGTAATGAAGGCCTAACTCAGGAAAGAAAACAATCTTGTTTTCAAAATCATAAGTTTAGAGACTGCAAATTCATCCAGTACATAATTTTTTTTTCTTTTTTGGAAAAAAAAATATGTAAGAGTAAGTCATTTTCTTCGATAACGTGGATTTTATTATGTGACTATAGAAAGAAGGTATGTTTTCAGTTGTTAGGCCTCTTTCAAATGAAAGACAAGGATTAGGTGTTTTTACATGATTATTTCTAAATGAAATGTAGAAAATCCTTCTCTATGAAGTTAAAGTGTAAAACAAATTTTAAATTTTCTAAAAACAGAGAATATAACTTTCTAGAAAGGTATTTCCCGAGTGTCCAGAAGATAGGATAACAAAATTTAAAAACATATATACGTACATATATTTCCAATTGCTATGTGTAGGGGAGAAGGAAGGAAAGGTTTTCAAACTACTAGACAACTTCCAAATTCTCCAGCTGCACAATTTTTATAACACCACATCCTGATCATCCCGTTTTTATATCTTGGCAATTATAAAAAGATTTGGTGATTTAGCTACTTTGAAGCAATAAATCAAAGAGACTAGAGTGAATATTAATAGACTCTACTTAAAATTAGACTGCGTCAGCTGGGCTCCAATGCTTCCCAGCTACAGGACCTCGAGCTCATCACTTAACCTCCTAAACTGGCTTCCTCACTTATAAAATGCAGATGATAATGCCTGGAGCTGTGGTGAAAGTCAGAGACTAGGGAGTGAAGCACCTAGAACAGAGCCTGGAACCTAGTAGACATGCAGGCAGTGGTGATGACTCAAGCCTCCTCTCCCTCGCTGCACCTGCCCACTAAGGAGGAGTGATGGGACAAATGAGTGGTGGTCACCAGCAACTCTGACAAATCCTGGATTAGAAATAGAAATCATTTGGTGTTTGCTTTTAGTGGGAAGAGGCCAATCTTCCCCCAGGCCTCAGAGAAACCCAGCATCAAGGGGGAGACATGCAAATCTCAGGATGCAAGGAGCTGGCCCAAGAGCAGGAGAGCCCCACAAGGCCACAGTTCCCTGCCCTCCGCCATGACCTGTGCTTACAGTGATCTGCGCCTTGCAGAGCCCCAGAGCCTCCTTCAGTGAGGACAGGAAGTGGTAGTTGGTCGGGCTCAGGAGTTCATGGTCCGCTGAAAGGTAAAAGGAAACCACACAGCTTTCCCGTGTGCAATTCCCACATCTCCTCAGCAATTCAGACACTGGCTCCTCATAGAGGCGGACAGCCTCTCCTCCTTTCATCACCAAATGTTCAGTCACACAGGAGCACACGGGCTCCAGGGAGCTCCACGTATGGACTCTCACCTGGGGAGAAATAAAACAGAATAAAAACAGGCATTCTTGGTTGCTGTGTTTTTAAGGAACAATAGTAGTAATAATTGCTGCAAGTCAGGGTAGCAGAAATGGTTAAGAGACTATGAAACCTGAGTGTTAATCCAAGTCCTGCAAAATGCTAGCTATATGACTTTCTCAGTCTTCATTTCTTCATATGTAGAATGAAAATAACAGCAGTAATGTCACAGACTCTTGTGAGAATTTAAAAAATAATCCATGGAAGGCACAGTACCTGGTGTGTTGTAATTTTTCTGTAAATGTGACCTATTTTCAGTGTTATTAGTGTCCTCTAAACTATAGCCACCTAAGACTTTGAGTTTCTAGCCTTTCTTTTTACTGAAATTTGTTTTTTAAATACAAATTTGCTTTCCACATGCCCATTCTGAATAGCTTTACTGATTTTTCACTGTAACATGCCATTTTTAAGCATTTCTTTTTATAAAGTTTGGACTATTTCCAGCCTCTCATAATTATAAATAACCTTGCATTTGAGGGGCACTTTATAGCATATGTGATTTGCTTTCATCTAGTTATTTTATTTGCTACTCATAGAAACCCCATAAGAAGATAGACTCGTATCATTTTACAGAGGAAGAAATTGAATCACCAAGATGTGAAGGGTTTTGCTTATGGTCACATCATAAATGGCAGGGTTTTAGCCTAAAATATATGTATTCTGACTCTCAATTAATTTCTCTTTTATTTTCCCAAAAGAATGTAACCAAACAACTAAAGAAATCATCTAAAACTCCCCTTCGATCTTAGAAAACAATCCAAGTAACTTACAGTGAGTGTCATCGAATAGTCCGAGTGAAGATCTGACACACCATAGATATAGAACGTGTTTTCATTCTCAAAGCCTACTGGTAACAGTGGAGCAAAGAAATTCTGAGCAAAGTAATGAAGCATTTTCCACTTTCCTCCATACTCTGAAAATAATCAAGAGTGTCAGGAGATGGCAAGGTCAAGTAGTCAGAGAGGCATTGTCCAATGGCCCAGCTGCGTGTGGCTCCTTGGGGTTCTAAGGGAGTGAGCATGTAAGGGAGAGTCAACAGTGGAGGGCACCCATGTTTGTGAAGGGCTCTGAGCCACTCTGCACATTATGTCATGTCACCCCTACAACATCTGGGCAGGCATTAGCAAATCATGCTGTTAGGCGATTTCATCACTGTGAGATCATAGAGTACTTATACAAACCAAGATGGTATAGCCTGTCGCTCCAGGCTACTAACCTGTACAGCATGTTACTGTGCTGAATACTGTAGGTAATTCTAATCATAGAATGGGACAGTGAAAATACAGTACTATAATCTTATGGGACCACCATCATATATGCACTGTGTTGTTGACTGAAATGTTATATGGTACATGACTGTATATAATAACTTATATAATAACTTATAGATTCTAGGTAGCTACTGATTGCTTTAAAGTATAACCATTTCGGGTGATAAGGGATAACATATACCTCCCCACCTGCAGGCACTCTAAGGAGTGGACTTATTGGCTAATCAGCGGTTAAACGGGGGCTTTGAGGCCCCCAGAGCAGAAGCAGATACAGAAAACTTGTCACAGCTTCTCCCTGATACCCTTTTTCTCTAATAAGTACAAGGAGCTGGTGATCTTCCTCAGGCAGGCCGGATCCTGCCAGGGTTTAGAAAACAGCCAAGCTCTGGTACTTGGGTTTTCCTACTGTGATACTATATATATATATATATATAAAATTTTTCTTCTACAGTTAGATACGGTTTGGCTGTGTCCCCACCCAAATCTCATCTTGAACTGTAGCTCCCATAATTCCCATGTGCTGTAGGAGGGACCTGGTGGGAGGTAGTTACCTCCCATGGGGGCAGGTCTTTCCCATGCTGTTCTTGTGATAATGAATAAGTCTCACAAGACCTGATGGTTTTATAACGAAGGCGTTTCCCTGCACAAGTTCTCTCTTACCCCACTGCCATGTAAGAAGTCCCTTTGCTCTTCCTTCGTCTTCTGCCATGATTGTGAGGCCTTCCCAGCCATGTGGAACTGTGAGTTCATTAAACCTCTTTTTCTTTATAAATTATCAGTCTCAGGCATGTCTTTATCAGTAGCATGAGAACAGACTAATACAGGTTCCTAGCTCACAACTACCATAGCCCTTGTTACAGACTCTTGTTATAATGTTGAGGTACGTTAGGACTCAAAAGCAGGCCTCAGAAAACAGAATCTATCTCTCTGATCTTCTCCTTCCCTCCTTTCACCAGCCCAAGGCAGGACTCTAATCTGATTGTGGGTCATAAGACACTCATTCAGAAGGTGTCCTGCCTCATACCCTGGAGGAGGAAATGCTTCACACAGAGGCCAAGAAGCTGAATGGGCAGGCCTTGCTATGTTTCCCCACTCAGTCTAATGGTATTAGATCATACCCGCTTTGTCCAATCACATATCTACATGGTTATCAATCATGGCTGTCCAATGAAGTCTCCCGATAACACCCAAGAGGACAGAGTTCAAAGAACTTCCAGATAGCTGACCACGTGAAGGCTGACAGAAAGAGGAACACGCCTCATCCACATGCCTGGAGGGTGGCACACCCCAGCCTCACAGGGATAAAGTTCCAGCACTCAGGACCCTTCCAAACTTCACCCCATGTATCTCTTCATATGGCTGTTTATTTGTGTCTTTTAAAATATCCTTTGTAATACAGCAGTCAGAATGTTTCCTTGAGTTCTGTGAGCCATTCTAGCAAATTAAACCCAAAGGGGGGGGGTCATGGGAACCCCAGCTTGAAGCTGGTCAGTCAGAAGTTCTAGAGGCTCAGACTTGTGACTGCTATCTAAAGGGGGAAGGTAGCTTTGTGGAACTGAGTTCTCAACCTATGGAATCTGATACAATCTGTAGGTAGATAGCGTCAGACTTAAATTGGAGGGCACTCGCGTGGTGTCCACTGCAGAAGTGATTGCTTGCTTGGTGTGTGGGGGAAGTTTCCCATACATCTGGTCACAGAAGTCTTCTGTGTGGATTGTTGTCGTGGAGTGAGGGAATTAAAAAAGCACTTTGAGGCCAGGTGCAGTGGCTTACATCTGTAATCCCAACACTTTGGGAAGCTGAGGAAGGCAGACCGCTTGAGACCAGGTGTTCAAGACCAGCCTGGGCAACATGGCAAAACCCTGTCTCCAGAAAAAAAATACAAAAATGAGCCAGGCATGGTGATGGGCAGCTATAGACCCAGGTACTCAGGAGCTTGAGGTGAGAGGAAGGCTTGAGCCTGTGGCGTGGAGGCTACAATGAACCATGATTGCACCACTTCATCAACAGAGTGAGACCATCTCAACAAAAAAACAAAACAAACAAAAAAGCACTTGGAGTTTGAGTGGTTTTTTTTTTTCCACAGACCTATACTTCCTGAGGAACTCAGGAATAATCTACATGGAATCATTTAAAGGAGTATTTACAAAAATTGGGCTCTCCCATTTCTTGAATCAAATTCAGTTTCAGAAGTCCACAACCTCATCTACAGACAGAAAGCAGGATCAGTATCCAAGAGTCTCTGAACAGTATCTCTTTGTCTACCTTTCCAGTATCCTAGAAGGATTTTCCCCCCAATTCTACCTCTGATTCTCATTCAATGCTCTCTTATCTGGTTGGTGCTGATAAAGAGTTTGGTCAGAGAAACTGGATTAGAAATCCAATTCTCTGTAAAAGTCACCCATCTGGCACTAATGAAAACATGTTTGGAATGAATTTCTTTTGATCTGCATTCACAGCCAGTTTAAGAGCCTCACCCCCTGCACTCCAGCCCGGATGACAGAACAAGACTCCATCTCAAAAAAAAAAAAAAAAAAAAAAAGAAAGAAAGAAAGAAAGAAAGAAAAAAAAAAAAAACACCTTATCCAGCCTTCCTACTTTGTGACCTTGCCTCATGACCCCAAACTATTCTTTACATTATTAACTGAACTTTGTTTCAAGTCACCTCTAGTGAAGGGCAAAGGCTCATTATTATTCCTTAATTTTTTTTAAATGTACCAGAATAGATAGGATACTTCAAACTGCAGATTCCATGCCAGTCATCTCACCTGTTGCTAGTTGAACTGTTTCAACTGGTCACCTTTCCCATTTGGGATTCTGCCTCTACTATCTTTTCCCCAAGAGCTAAATAGGGCATAATAAAGATGGCCTTAACAGACATCTTCATTATGTCCTTAAAGAACATCTTTATTTATTTGTCCTTAAAGGTGAATCAGAGAAAGGGAAACTTTAACATAACCAGATGAAACTTCTACCTGACTGAATTCTCCAACACAGAAGAAGGGATGCTTAAGTTCACGCTTCTTTAGCCCCGGAATGTCCTCTTAAATAAATTCAAAATTCTACGCAGTAATAACAAGACACGTGGCTGAGACTTTTGTATAGGAATCTATCCCATGCTTAGCCTGCTGTTGCAACTTTGCATGGCACAGAACTCATAATGAGGTTGACCCTAAGGCTCATGGAAAGGCTACTAAGGTGAGCTGGGTGGAGGTAGTTCCTAGGCGGGCTTTTTAAAGAATGACCTCTTTGGGTCATAGTTCTGCCTGGGCTAATCTGACCCCTCCAGCTCTGTGCTTTCTCAGTCCCTCTCCCCACAGTGTTGCTTTCTCTCACTTACACAAAGAACGCTGAAACACTCACCAAGAGAAGCCCAGGAAGGAGCTTGCCAGATGTCATTCAACTGCCAATACAGCGCCCCCATCGTGTGCCCTTGCTGATCCACTATCTCACTGCGACCGCGGCGGTAGAATTCAGTTTCTGTTTTGACACACTGGGCCTGCATCACCTGATTCAAGAAAACATTCATACACTGGTGTTACTGTTTGATGTAGACTGCCTAGATCTGAGAAAAATACAGGGTTTAGTTTCGTTTTCGGGTTTTTTTGGGGGAGCAATTTGGATAAATTAGGGAATTTAATTGGTATTAGGAATACATTATACTAGATCTGTAAGTAGCCCTTTAGCATGAGAGAAGCTGTTGTCTGTAACAGTGGGTTTGTCTGGTAGGCTTGGTGTATCATTATTGTGACAATGGAAATAGGGTGGTGTAAAAGGTTCTCTGCTAATGATAGTGTAGGCAATAAAGAGAAACAAAAACTACTATTCCAGAGCAAATGCTATATGTAGCTCAAAACTAGATTCTTTTCATTGATACATTTTGCTAATACCTTCATAGATATTTTTTTAAGAAAAACTTTTACTAGAAAAAAATTCTATAAGAAAAATAACATTTTGAGTCTGATATTATCCATTTTGAGTCTGAGTTATTTTGAGTCTGATATTATCCAATCCCTAATTCTTTTTTTCTAGTCAAACAACTGTTTTGATGTCATGATTTTTGATAATGTAAGATTTCTCATGAATGGAATTCCTTCATTGTAGCAGAACAGATGGTAAATTGCAGCAACGAGACAAATGAATTTAGCTCTTGTTTAAGAGACACTAAAGAACTTCACACAGGACCCTTGATTATTGACATCATCACTGAAAAATCAGTCTCTTTTATTGCTGCTGTTACTGACACATATGAATCACATGCTCTTAGCCTGGAGCTGTGCTGAGGAGGGGCGCATGAATGGGCCACTGAGGACCCAGAGACGGTCAGAGCAGCAAAGATTTGTCAGAGAATAAGATGGCCCTAGAGTAGGGCTGGGGTTTTCACAGAGGAAGAAAAAGAATGGTGCATATGGCCACCAAAAGACTAAGCCGAGACACTTTCCCATAAAAGCAAAAAAGCTCAGATAAAGGTAGAACCTTTAGATAGAGGAAGGCTGACCAGTAAGGAAGTCATAGATGAGGTTATGACTTACATGAGTCACAGCCGTCAAATTCCAGAAGGGAAGCAAGAAGAAATTGTGGCCAGTCAATAAATATTTAATAAGAACCTGCAGGATATGTTACATACTGAGAATGGTGGGCACCCCTCCCAGAAAAAAAAAAAAAAACAGCCCACCCTATGGGGCTTATCAGCTTTTGTGGGAGACAGGCCTTCATCAAAGAATCACAGAAAGGCATGTCATCATTAAACAGTACCAATGCTAAGTAGGAAAGGTGTGTGATGTTACAAGCTCATATGGTGGGGCAATTGGGCTGAGCTATAGAGTGAGGATTGGCCCAAAAGAAGAGAAATGGGAAAAAGAGAGAGGGCAGAACCTTCCAGAGAGGACAATATGCCATGGGAGGAGGATGTCAGGTCGGCTAAGAACTGAAGAAAGGCCAAGAGGGCCTGATCTCAGGAAGTCGAAAGCAATGGAAGAGAAGCTGGTGAGAATCACAGGGACCAGACCTTGGAAGGCCGCATGTTGAAGGTGTTGGTGTGCATCCTAAAGGCAAATGGAGGTCACAAAAGGCTTTTAAACTAAAGGGTGACGTGAAGAGATTTACATTTCCAAAAGATAACTGAGACTACTAAAGGAGGAAGGGATTGCAAGGGGGCTGGAGCGGACTTAGGTAGACCATTTAGGCAAGAGATGGTTCTAGCTATGAGCAGACAAAGCAATGTCTTCTCATTCAGGAACCAGACCACTAGGACCACAGCAACAGTAGCTGGAAAAAAATGTTCTAAAGTAAGAATCTCACAAAGCAAGTGCATTGGTGCCACCTCAAAATGACCAAGGTCCCTATAAACATTTGAGTTTTTAGTCTCTAAACTATATCAATTTTCAGCATTATCTGTAAGATATATTTATTTCATATATCCATTCTAACATTAATCTCCTCACTATAACTTATTTTTCCTGGTATAATAGGTAAAATGTATTAGTCCCTTAGAATTTTCAAAATTTGAAACAATTTTAAATGCAAGTAGGATTCCTAACCTTCACTAGCAGTGAAAAGAAAAGAGCACAAAGCGGTTCTGTCTAGTAGCCTCTCTTACAGGAAATTAGCATGAAAGAACATAACCAAGACTCTTGTGTGCTCCAGGCTCCAGCACAGTGCGGTACACTCCACACACAGATGGTACCATGCTAATAACATGGACCTGAATCTATCCAAACCAGTGGGTACCAGTCAAGGCTAATGAATGACACCTTTGTTCATAAAAATGCAGAAGACTATTGCCCACTAAACTTCTTAAAGGGATGTTGTACAATCCTAGTTCCCTGGAAAATCTCTAGAACTTCCCCTTTAAAAACCATACCTATATTTACACATCCATGCATCCTTTCCTAAAAAGGGCAATCTTTACACATAAAAGGAATAAATGCTTAGTCATTTTCTATATTACTCAGTCCACTGTTAGCAGACAAGTGTATTTCAGTTTTAAAAATATGCCTATTCAGTTGGGCACAATGGCTCATGCCTGTAATCCCAGCACTTTGGGAGGCCAAGGTGGGCGGATCACAAGGTCAGGAAATGGAGACCAGCCTGGCTAACACGGTGAAACTCCGTCTCTACTAAAAATACAAAAAATTAGTCAGACATGATGGCACTTGCCTGTAGTCCCAGCTACTCGGGAGGCTGAGGCAGGAGAATCGCTTGAACACTTGAACTATGTGAGGTAATGCATATGTTAAATAGCTTGAATTAGCCGTTCCATAATGTACACACATATCAGAACATCATGTTGTACACCATAAATATATATTTTTTAATTTATCAATTAAAATAAAGAAATATTAATTTTTTAAAAAAAGAAAATCAATTGACCATAAATGTATATTTGTTTCTGGATTCTCAATTTTATTGAATCAATCTATTAGATATACCTGGTCTTTTGTCATTACCACACTGTCTTGATTACTGTAGATTCGAAGCAAGTTTTAAAATCTTTTTTTCAACAGTATAAGATTTGTCAAATGCTTTTTCTTCATCTATTGAGATGATCATGTGTATTTTTTCTTTCTTTACTAATATGGTTTATTACACTGATTAACTTTCATATGTCAAATCAATCTTACATTCCTGGGATAAATCCCACATAGTTATGGTATACAATCCTTTTTATATGCTGCTGGATTTGGATTGATAGCATTTTATTGAGGATTTTTTTTCTGTCTACATTCATGAATTATGAGTCTACAGGTTGCTTTTCCTGAGATATATTTGTCTGGTTTTGGTATCAAGGTAATGTTGGCTTCACAGAATGAGTTAAGTGTTTCCTCCTCTTATTACTAACTTTTTAGAGAGTTAATGAGGGGTTTCTTTTAATTCTTCTTTAAACATTCTTAGAATTCACTAGTGAAGCCATCTGGTCCTGGATTTTTCTTTTTAGGGGAAGGTTTTTTTGTTTTTTAATTAACTCAATCTTAGTTGTTATAGGGCTATTAAGATTTTCTATTTCTTCTTGATTCAGTTTTCATGGGTTGTTTCTCTAGGAATTCATCCATTTCATCTAAATTATCTGATTTGTTGCCATATAATTGTGTATATATTATCTTATCACCTTATCTATTTCGGTAAGGTGAGTAGTAATATTTCCTCTATCATTCCTAATTTAGTATTTTGAGTGTCCTCTCTTTTTTTCTGGGCCAGTCTAGCTAAAGGTTTGTCAATTTTGTTGATCTATCCGAAGAACTAACTTTTGGCTTCATTGGTTTTCTCCAGTGTTCTAATGAGGTCTTTATTTAATGTGCCAAATTTCTGATGCCCACTTCACTTAATTGCTGAAAATTACTGTTAACAATTTAACCAAACACCATTATCACAACTGTGAAGGGACAGAATATTACAGGTTAAAAAGCAGAAACCCTACTCCATTCATTGCCCTGAGTCCTTAGGCAAAATATTTAACTTTTCTGAGCCTGTTTACTCATGTATAAAATGGAAAAGAGTGATATGGGTGTAAGCACTTCATGACCCAGGACCAGGCATTTAGTAGATACCCAAAGAATGCTAAATATTTGCTTGATTTTTAAATTACATGATGCCTATACAAACTCCTATACATAATATACAATGTTAGTGGTCACTCTTTCATTCCCCTCCTTTGCCCACCCTACTCTCATCTTAAATGCTCCGTATGGCCTGGATCTTCCATCATGTCTCAGTGCCACTTGCCAAACAAATAACTATTCTAGGGCAGCAGGTATCATCAAAACCTGGGCCTGCAGCATCACCTACCTTTTGTCCTTAGTTCTTATGATCAAGTTGCTTACAGCATGGGAAGATAAAATGGGCCCTAAAGAAAATGAGTTTCTGAAGGACATCCCCAAGCCATCATTAGATGTTCAATAGATACATGAAGAATAAACAAAAGCACTAGAGAAGGCTGTAAGCTAAGGGCTTGGTAACTAATGTCCTTGGCCTGGCCTATTCTCTTACTGGCCAATAAGAGGCCATGCTGGTAGAGTAAGTTACTTAAAAGTTAGTTTAGATGTGTTCATTTAGATAGCTGGTCCTCAAATTAGAGAGTGAGATCTGTGTAACATAGCTTAAGAGGGTGTGCTCATGTATACGCGCTATTTGGAATACAATATAACAGGGAAAGGGGGATAGTAAAAGGTGAGGCAAGATTATCCTGGAATACTAGGAGAATTAAAGAGGCAAGAGCCCATAGGGATATCTTTGTGACTATAAGATAAAGAGAAGATAGGGAAGGATCTGAATGTGAAGAAATTTACTGGACAGCTTTCTCAGCTAAGACTTTGCTGACAGTTGCAAATATTCCTTAATTAATAAACCATCTAAAAATTGGCACATAGGCAAGCAGTCTGTTCTTCAGAATAGTATGACAGACTATGAGAAAAAGAACAGGAGTGGGAGTAGGAATATAGAAAATGGAACAGAGAAGTGTTTTATTTCTAATACACAGATTAAAGAGGACTGTTCTAAAATCAAAGTAACAAGAAAAAACCCTAAAACCCTAACATTTTCTGTCTATATTTCAGTCAAGAAAATCTGACACTGAAAACAAAACAAAATAATCATAACTCTGAATTCTTTCATCACAGATGTCATCTAGTAGGTTGGAAAGTGCCACGGTAGACACTCACAAGCCACACGAGGACAAGTCCAATTCTGAGCCAAAGCCTGAGAGGACACCAGTGCTAAATTCTCAGACAAAACCATCATCAACAAAAACTGGCAACAAATAACTCCACCTGTATGCCCAGTTCCTAACTATGGACCTTGAATGCTGATCAGTTCTGAAAAGAAAAATTATTTCTGTCAGTTCTTGGAATATAATTTTGAGGAAAGTAATAAAGTTAGAGTAATAAACAGTCGGAAGGAGAAAATCCAGCATAAAAAACAATAGCAGAAAAGTCTCTTACACACACACACACAAATACTAATCAGCCTATTTTATGTATCAGAACACTTTAACAGAATATCATCTGTGGAAAACTTCAAAGATAAAGTGCAACACATTTCAAGGGACAGACACCAGCATTGCCTTTAACCTTGTGTTCTGGTAAGTTTCGTGAATTACACATCACCCTGGCAAAACTGTCCTAACCCATAAGATTATGATTGAAACATTAAAATTCTCCTAATCATTTCATCACCTTCTAAAAAAGATTACAGTTTTCTGCTTTAGCTTCTATCATGGGGTTTGTGTTTTCCTATAGGAGAAAACTGATGAAGGTGTGAGCATGAGTTTGGATTAAAATTCGTATGTTTTTAGAAACTAAGATAGGAAAATTTAACTGTGATTATGTTTTTACAATTTTCCTATCTACTTCAGATCAACTTTTATGATTGGGATTAGGCTTTTACCTCCTCTCTAAGAACTTCAAACACGAATGACAAAAACAGCAGGTAAATAAGCAGTGACTTTAATGGAGTCTTAAGTGTGGTCACAGGTTTATGAACTAAAATAGGTGAATGAAAAAAGTAAAATGAAAACATCATCCAAAATTCAGTTTGGCAGTTTCCTAAAAAGATAAACATAAATTTGTTATATAACTCAGCAATTCCATTAGTATATTTCTACCCTTTGAAAAGGAAATCTATGTCCATACGAAGATTTGTATATGAGTATTCATAACAGCATTATTCATAATAGCCAAAAATTGGAATACAATATAACAAATGTCCATCAACAGATGAATCTGATGAATGGATAAGCAAAATGTGTATATCCATACAACTGAATAGTATTTGGCAAGAAAATGGACATGAACTACATGCTATAACGTGGATGATCTTCAAAAACTTTATGCTAGGTGAAAGAAGCCAGATGCAAAAGATCATGTATTTATAATACCATTTACATGAAATGCTGAGAAAAGTAAAATCTATAGAGACAGAAAATAGATGTATGTTGTCCTGTGGCTGGAGGTGGGAAAGGGGAGTGACTGTAAATGGGTACAAGGGTTCTTTCTAGAATGACAAAAATATTCTAAAATCGGACCATAGTGATGGTTGCACTACTCTATAAATATCACTTAACTGTACTCTTAAGATGTGTGGATTTTATGATATGTCCATCATACCTTGATAGAACTGTTTTTAAAATCCAGCAAGTTGCACGCTGTAACATTCACAAATCTCGATATATGCATACATCCATGTAACTACCACTCAGGTCAAGATAGAAAACAGAAAGTTCTCTTGTACCCCTTCCTAATCACTGCTCACACCCTCCTCCACAAGAATAGTTAATACTACTTGGCTCTCTATCATCCTGATTGCTCTTTTTTCTAATCTGTACTTTTTTCTATAACATACTTAAATTTCAATATAAAAGAAATCAATACAGTTATGTATCCTTTTATGTCTGGTTTCTTTTACTCAATGTAATACCTGTGAGACCCATCCAAGTTCATGCTGATTATCAGTAGTTTATTCTTTTTTTATTGCCGTGGAGTATTCCACTGTATGAATATACTATAATTTGTTTATAAATTCTCCTGTTAAAGGACATTTAGGTTGTTTCTACTTTGGGGCTATTGTGAATAGTGCTGCAATGAACATTATTTGAGAAATCCATTGGTGGACATATTAACTCATTTTTCTTAGGGGCATAGCTAGGAGCAGAAATGCTGATTCAAACAGGAAGCAAACATTTAGCTTAGGTAGAAACTGCTATAAAATTTTCCAAAGTGGTTAAACACATTAAAACTCCTACTAACAATGTCTAAAATGTCCAGCTGTCTCTCTTCCTCACCGGCAGTTGGTATTGTCAATCTTTTTAATTTTAGCCATTCTGCTGGGTGTGTAGGGGTATCCTGGTATGGCTTTAATTTGCATGTTCTTTATTTAAAACAAGATTGGGTACATTTTCATGTATTTATTGACCCTTTGGATATCTTCTTTGGTGAAGTACCTGTTCAAGACTTTTGTCCATTTTTAAATAGATTGTCAGGCTTTTTCTTATTGCTTTATAGAAAGCAATAAGAATTGCTTTATCCTGGATACAAATCTTTTATCAAATATATGAATTAAAACTACTGGTCCCCAATTTGTGGCTTGCCTTTTTTCGCTCTTAATGGTGTTTTTTATACTTAATGGTGTCCATAATTTCAATGGAGTATAAATTTATCAATATTTTCTTTTCTAGTTAGTGCTTTCTATGTTCTATATAAAAACTCTTACCTATCCCAAAATCATGAAGCTATTCCATGTTTTCTTGAAGCTTTATTGTAGTACCTTTCACATTTGAGTCTTCAGTCACTGATCAAATGAAATTTCTAAAATTTATTATTCATTTATTTTTTAGAGATGGGGTTGTTGATATTTTGTCCACGCTGGTCTCAAACTCCTGGGCTCAATCAATTCTCCCACCTCAGCCTCCCAAGTAGTTGGGACTACAGGTGTGTGCCACCATGCCCAACAATCAAATTAATTTGTATAGGGAATCAAGTTCATTTCTTTTCCCATAAAGGCATCCACATGATACAGCACTGTTTATTGATAAATGATTCTTTTCATACTCAATTGTGGTGGCATCACAGCCATAAATCAGGTGTCTATATTATACAGGGATCTGTTTCTGGACTGTATTGTGTTCCGTTGTTCTATTTTTATCTTTGGGAAATGGCACTGCCTTAATTACTAAACCTTTAGAGCAATCTTGAAGTAGAGAATATTTTCATACACAATTTCTTTCAGAATTTTGTGAACTGTTTTTGTAAGAGGCAAATGCCAAAAATGAACTATTTCATGTCCTATGTGTCATCATATGTGTTCTTTGAAGAAAATAAATTCCTTAAGCAGTAGAATGAAAACTTGAATAGTTTTCACCATATATGGCCTACAAAATCTACATAATCTCTTACATTAATTGCAGGAACCTGTTCAACTCTAGAATGAAAACGACTTACCTGAGTAAGGTAGATGGTATCTTTAAATGTGCGTAATGGATCTGTGCTCTCGGGGAGTTTGAAATGAAGTCCAGCCTGATAAAGCATTTGTTTGTTACCACCTTCGTGATGTTGTCGATGAAGTGAAAACTTGCTACTGAAAGACCAGTCCTCTGTAGATGAGACCTTTCGAATAAAGAATAAGAATTAGAAATCTGAAAGTTAGCAGTAAAACTACTCTTCTATAAGTTCCTAACAAATCTGGAAAGTTAGAGCTCGAAAGTTAAAAAAGCTCGAGGTTTGTTCTGTGGCTCCAGTTTCATAAATGTTTTGCCATCCTACTTGTTGTTCAGTGAAGGACTAGCCTTGTGGAAAGTAGAATCACAAAACTAGGGTTTGGTACGTATATCCTCCCTTCCTCCAACTAAGAAAGTTATATTTTGGTGTTTCTCTTAAGATTCTTGTTTTATCAAAACATATTGCTGGTTTTTGAAACATTTACTATATGTATTTTAAAATATCATTTTATCTACTTAGGTAAATATTTTATCTAGTATTCATTTGTCAAAACTTAATAATAGAATGCAGTTGACACTCTGTTAAAACTGTCACAATTCTTAAATAGGAATAAAACACCTATTACACTGTAATAGGAATATTATGAGAGTAAATGCTTTAGCACTTACACTGCTCACTTGTTTCTCAGTGATTAGTAAATGAAACCGATGCATATGTTTAATTTTTATATAGTTGAAGACACAAACCAAATAATGTTACTTCTCTCCCCTAAAAAAATCAATCCTTCATTTTTTAAGCCAGGCCCAAATTATAGGATCTTTATTTTATCCGTTTTATCCTAACATACAGGATCTTTCTTTTATCATCAGCTCAAATTAAAAAACAAAGTAAAAAAACTCACATTTGTTGGAGTATACCTTCTACAATAAAAGAGAAAAAAAGCAATCATTCTGGCTTTTAGGCCTATAATTTAATGCAGTGTTAGTACTTAAGAAAGAAGACAATTGCTGGCTACATCTGAAAACATCCAGAGTTTTAATTCAAGTTACACAGACTTTGAAAAAACATAGTCTGCCCCTCCACCCAAAAACCTGAAAATTAAAAAAGTTTAATCCCTGTTCATAAAGTATGACTTCTCATTCCCAGTAATTAAGCAACACATGGGCCCATTACCGTAAAAGGAAAAGGTTATTCTTCAGGAACTGATTCATACCCAAATGTAAGAAATGTACACTAGCCATATTAAATTTGGAAGATTTTCCTAATTCTAGATGTTTTTCCAAAATGCCACCACCAGAATTAAAGAATGCTAACTACTCCTATTATGTATTTAAAAGAGAGATTCACATTTACAATCATCTCGTACACATTTTAGATGCACATCCCTTATCGATAGTCTTCTTCCTATGCTTCCTCCTCTTAATTTATTTTATTTATGCTTATTATTTTTAATTGACACAATAAGTGTACACATTTATGGGGTACCATGTTATAATCTGATACATGTATACAATGTATAAGGATCAAATCAGGGTAATAAGTAAATTCATCACCTCAAACATTTATCATTTCTTTGTGTTGGGAACTTTCAAAATTCTCTCTTCTAGCTATCCGAAAATACACAATAAATTATTATTAATTATAGTTACCCCAAAGTGCTATAGAACACTAGAACTTAATCTTCCCATCTAGCTATAATTTTCATTGGTTGGTTAATTTGGTTGGTTTAGAGGTTAGTTACTATAATTAACCAACCTCTACTGCCCCTCCCCCACAACCCTTCCCACCCTCTGGTAATCACTATTCCACTCTACTTCTTTGAGCTCAACTTCTTTAGCTTTCACATAGGAATGTCCTTCCTCCTTTTCAAAGTCTGAAATACACCTTTGGGCCATGCAGCCTTCTTATTTGTAATAATTTGGGTCTATCCCATAATCAGTAAACCTGATCTTATATGGGAGGCTTTCTACCACTAGAAAGAACTGGAAAGGGCCAGGCAAAGTTCTAATTACTTTAAGAATATTAACTTAAAAATATATATATTAACTTATTTAATACTCATAAAAACCCGGCCAGGTGCAGTGATTCACACCTGTAATCCCAGCACTTTGAGAGGCTAAGATGGGAGGATCGCTTGAGCCCAGGAGTTCAAGACCAGACTGGACAACATAGTGAGACCCCATCTCTACAAAAATAAAAAATTAGCCCTGTGTGGTGGCACATGCCTGTAGTCCCAGCTACTTGGGAGGCTAAAGTGGGATGAGTGCTTGAGCCCACGAGTTTGAGGCTGCAGTGAGCCATGATCACGCCACTGCACTCCAGCCTGTGTGACACAGCTAGACCCTCTTTCAAAACAAAAAACAAAACAAACTCTACGAGTAGGTACAATTATCACCCCATTTTACAGATGTGAAAACCAGGCACAGAAAGGTTGAATAACTTGTTCAGTATTCAAATCTAATGCAATCTAGCTCCAGTCCCTAGTTCATTAAACCCAGAAGGATCTGAAGAAAATGAAACTTTCATACAAATAATATGATTAAAATGGACTATACTAAAGGTAATAATAGTTTACATTTCATGGGCTCTCACTGTGTCAGGTACAGTGCTAAGTGCTTCAATGTATTAGTTAACGTAATCTTTACTCATGAACACACACACATGTGCATATCTACACGCACACACACACACATACATGAGGTATTTACTACTATTAACCCCAATTTACAGATGAAGAAACTGAAATTCAGAAAGATTACATAATCTGTCCAAGATAATACAGATAATGAGTGGCAGCTGTCATATTCAATCCAGTTCTGTTTATCCCAAAGCCCAAACTTTTAATCACCATGCAATATTGATAACCACATGTTGAAAATATATTTTATGAAAAATCAATGTATCCCAAATTAAAGAGATATGTTTTAATCAATTTGTTGAATACATGAAAAAGCTTCTAAATAAAAGAGCCAAAGTTTTATTTAGTTGTTCTATTGCTTTCTTTTATTTTCCCAGTCACCTATTCAAATTCCCAACTAAGCAGTGTAGCTTAAAAAGAGATGAGTAAATCGAGATAACAAACGATTCATAATGAGCAGCACTTATCCTCAACTTTCTCTATTTTAAAATATAGTGTTTATTATCTCTGAACATCATCAGGCATTTCACAAAAACATGGGATAAAAATAATTCCATTATTTGAAGGAGGCCAGTAGAAATTATTACAGATTTAAGGAAAAGGTTTAGCAATTTCTAACACTAATCTTTCTAAAGTGTGGTGAAAAGAAAATCTATCAGCTCTGGAGACAGAGAGTAAGTCTGAACCCAGCTGCTTATTTCTGAGAGTGGGAAGGAAGGAATGAAGGAAGCAAGAATATTTACTGAATTATTGCTTGTGTACCAGGTACTCATTCTTTTATTAGACAATAATCGACCCACTCCCCTTTGACTGAGGCCCAAGAGGAAATCAAAGCACTGCAGGGTAGGAGTTCTATCTGCGTCCTCTTACAGTAATTTGATTTCCTCCTGCATCTCAAAGTGGAGTGGGCAGCTTATTGTCAAATTAAAGAATGAGTACGTGGTACACAGCAATTATTCAGTAAATATTCTTGCTTCCTTCATTCCTTCCTTCCCACTCTCAACACTTGTTCCTGTCTGCGTCAGGATACTGAACTTCATCCTCCTTCACTCTGAAACAATAGTATTCCCAAAAGATTAGCCCCACAATTTGGGAACAATTAAAAAGGGGGGTATGGAATTTCACAATGTATATATGTTTCAAAACATCGTGTAGTACACAATAGATACATACAATTTTTTGTTAATTTTTAAATTTTAAAAAACCAAGGGTAGAGCTAAGGTTATGACATCATTAAAGTTAAAGTACAGTATAACTTCAATGTGAATAAGCAAATATAGTTGTGTTCAGTTGGTGAAATTGAAAAAGATTTTGAAATTGTCTTAAAAGACTTTTTTTGTGTGTGGTTACTTTACACAACTGATGCAGGGACAGCAAAACCACACAATCATTTCAATAGATGAAGAAAAAGCACTTGAAAAAATGCAACATTCTTTCACGATATAAGCACTCAGCTAACTAGAAATAAAAGGGAACTTCCTTGACCTTATAAAGGACATCTACTAAAAACCTATTGTCAATATCACACTAAATGGTAAAAGACTGAAATGTCCCCCCTAAGAAAAAGAACAACTCAAGGATATCTTGTCTTCCCATCCATTTTCTACATTGTATAAAAAGTTCTAGCCAGGGAAATTAAGTAAGAAAATCAAATAAAAGGCTTCCAGATTGGAAAGGAAGAAGTAATATTATTAATACCTCTATTTATAGATGACATGATCTTATATATAGAAAATGCTAAAGAATATCCTCCAAAATATTATTAGAGCTATTAAATGAGATCGTCCACGTTGTAGCATTCAAGCTCAATATACAAAAATCATTTGTATTTGTATACATTAGCAATGAACAATCTAAAAATGAAATTAAGAAAATAATTTTATTTACAATAGCATCAAGAAGAATAAAACACTTAGGAATAAGTAAGCCAAAGAATTGTGAGACTGGTACACTGAAAACTACATTGTTGAAAGAAATTAAAGACGACATCCCATGTTCATGTGTCAGAAGATTTAATATTACTAGATGGCAACACTCACAAACTGATCAACAGATTCAACATAATCCCTATCAAAATCCCAGCTAACTTTTCTGCAGAAATTAGCAAATAGATTCCAAGACTCATTTGGAAATGCAAGGCACCCAGGATAGTAAAAAAAAAAAATTGAAAGAAGAACAAAATTGATGGACTCACACTTCCTAATGTCAAAACTTACTACAAAGCTATAGCAATCAAGACAGTGCACAGTGACATGAAATATGCCACTTGAACAGAATTGAGAATTCAGAAATAAACCCTAACTTTTACGGTTAATTGATTTTCAGGGCCAAAAGAATTTAATGGGGGAAAGGAATAGTGTTTTCAATATATGCTATTGGAACAACTGGCTATCCACATGCAAAAGAATGAACCTGAACTCCTACCTCCCACCACACATAAAAAATAACTCAAAATGACCATAGACTTGAATGCAAGAGCTAAAACTATAAAATTCTTAGAAGACAACACAGAAATAAACCTTTGCCATTTGGGGCGAGGCAATGATTTCTTAGATGCAACACCAAAAAGAAGAGATTGGTAAGTAAAACGTCATCAAAATTTAAATTTTTTGTGCTGTAAGTGATACCATGAAAGTGAATAAAGTGACAACCCACACACTGGGAGAAAATATTTGCAAATCAAATACCTGATAAAATCTTATAGCCAGAAAATATTTTTTAAAATTTCATAACTCAATAAAATAAAGACAAATAATTTTAAAATGACCAGGCCGTGCATAGTGGCTCACGCCTATAAGCCCAGCACTTTGGGAGGCCAAGGTAGGCAATCACTTGAGCTCAGGAGTTCCAGACCAGCCTGGATGATTTGGTGAAACCCCATCTCTACAAAATTAGCTTGGTGTGTTGGTACATGCTTGTAGTCCCAGCTTCTTGGGGGGACTGAGGCAGGAGGATTGCTTCAGCCTGAGAGGTCAAATCTGCAGTGAGTCATGACCACTCCACTGCACACCAGCCTGGGCAACAAAGCAAGACCCTGTCTCGATTAAAAAAAAAAAAATGGCTAAAGGATTTGAATAGACATTTCTCAAAGGAAGACATACAAATGGCCAGGAAGCACATGAAGAAAATGCTCAAAATGATTAGTCATCAATGATATGCAAATTTCCTGTAAATGTAAATTCCCAGGGAAATGTGAAGAAAAAAAGAAAATAGCAAGTGTTGGCAAGGATATGGAGAAATTGGAATCCTAATACCTTGCTGATAGAAATGCAAAATGGTGCAATCGCTACAGAAAACAATTTGACAGTTCCTTAGAATATTAAAGATAGAGCTACCATATGACCCAGCAATTCCGCTCCTAGATATACATTCAGTAGAACTGAAAATATATATTCACAAAACATGTACACAAATGTTCCCAGCAGCATTATTCATAATACCCAAACAGAGGAAATAACACAAATGTCCATCAACTGATAAATAGATAAACAAAACATAGTATATCCATGCAACAGAATGTTATTCAGCAATAAAAAAAAGGAACATACTAATACATGGTCAACATGGATGAACCCTGAAAACACACCTAGTCAAAGAATCAGTCTCAAAAGACTACATATTATATTATTCCAATTATATGAAATATAAAGAGTAAGGAAAACTATAGACACAGAAATTAGATTGGTAGTGTCTAAGACTGGGGAGGAGGGATAGGGAAAAATAGGGAGTGGCTGCTAATGGGTTCAGGGTTTCTTTTGAGTGATAAAAAATGTCCTAAAATTAGATTGTGGTGCTGGCTGCACATCTCTGTGAATATACTGAAGACTATTAAATTGTACACATTAAATGGGTGCATTGTATGGCAAGTGAATTATATCCCAATAAAGCTATTTTAAGAAGAATACACACAATGCTGAAACTGAATCTTTAGGAACAGAGAGAGTGAAAATCCATACAGAAAATAAAACACACCAACACCATGAAAACAAGGGAGGAAGAGGAGTTGAGGGAGGAAAAATGGAATAGGAGGAGAAAGAGGAGAGAAAAGGTAAGATGATAACATTAGACTAAGGTTTATTTATCACATTTACCCTCTTCCTGTAGTGAAATATCCAGTTCTGAATATCTGTAAATGGTAAAACAGTTGCAGGATATGATTTACAAGTAAGACTTATTGTAGCAAGTAAGAGTTATTTCCATGTGTGATAATAAGTCAGGCTTAAGCAACCACTGGGCCCCATTTAGTGCTTTCAGTGCTCCTGAAGGAACACAGTAAAAGCAATATAGAAAAGTAATCCCCAAAGGTTTAAAAAATTTATTTTCCTCCATCTTCTTCTCAAACTTTCATTTAAATAAGATGTAGGTTTCAAATGATTTTCTGAACCAGTGGTCAGAAAAAACACATGCCCACACTGTATCATTTTGAAACATTAGAAAATCAAAAGATGACTTACCTTTTCTAATGTACTGAAGGATGGCCAGGACTGATATCCATATTCAGATGCAAATCGAGCTCTTGGGAAAACTTTCCAGTTCCAGCAATCACTGATATAGTCATAAAAATGTACATCACCAAAATAATTGCTATTAGGGTTTTGAGAGACCCAGCCTTCTGCAACAGTTTCAGCCCCATTTGTAGGACTGGACGTAATGAAAGGACGACTCTTGTCTCCCTAAGTTCAGAAATAAAATGAATTCAAGGATAATATATTCATCCTGTAAAGTATGAATCATTTACTTCTTTAAAAATACTAACAAGTCCCAGAAATGCCAAGTAGCTGATCGAAAATTAATAGGACCACTTACCTTCCTCCCCATTCAACAACCACCAGCACCTCTCTGCTCTTCGCCAATCCTTTATACCTTTTCATAAGTAACACTTAGCTCATCCCTCACAGCAGCTGTTCTTAATTTTTTCAATCATGTTTTGCCTCCACTCTCATCCATCATGGGTGGTGTACAGTCTAGTCCAGAGTTTCTCAACTTTGGCCCTATTGACATTTTGAGCTGGATACGTTTTTGTAGAGGTTGGCTGGGGGTGGGGATGTCTTATGCATAGTGGGATATTTAGTAGCATCCCTGGCCTCTACCCAATAGATGTCAGTAGCTCTCCCCCAACCTTGAAAAATGTCTACAGGCACTGCCAAATGTTCCACGGGGGCAAAATCACCACCACTTGAGAACCAAAGGTCTAGCAGGTAAGAACAGAAGCTACTGAGTCAGATGGACGCGAACCTGACTTTAAATCTCAAATCTGAACCTTATTATTTTTGGACAGGTCTAAGCCTCGGTAGGTTTATCTGCAAAATGAGTATAATAATAGTACCTCCTTTAGAGGTATTATAAATAGTAAGTAACTCATATGTGAAAGTGATGGCTAGGTGTCAACCAATTCATGTTCTCGTTTCGATAATATAAAGCCATCCCTAGGAAGTGGCTTCCTAGCCCATATGGGGCCAAGTGCCTCATTCTCATCCTCTTCCCCCATTTGCAAGTGAGGGTGCAAGAGATGGTGCAGCTGGAATAAAGTGTCTCCATCTCTGAAAGAGGAGTTGCCTGTCAATCAGGAGCAGCCCTTTCATAGTGTCAGTGAGCAAGAAATAAACTTTTATTATGTAAACCACTGAACTACTGTGGCTTACCTGTTACATCTAGCATGTAAGTGCTTAACAGAGTGCCTAGCACACTGTGAGAACTCAAAATATAGTTATTATCATCAGTAGATGAGACCACTTCCTATTTCACTGAGAAGATTTCATTCACTTAGCAAGTATTCGTCAAATCTATTGTGTCTCTGGCATTTTTTCGCACTGCAGAGGGAAGGAGGGATGGGGAGAGAAAGCGAGAGGGGGGAGAGGGAGAGAGAGAGAGAGGGAGAGAGAGAGAGAGAGAGAGAATCTATGACTCTGTCAAGTACTTATACATCAAATCTCTTTTGAGTATTTCCTATGAGCCAGGCATGCAGTTCTTTCTATGTGCTGGAGGTTCAGCAGACAGCCATGGTGATCCTCTTGGAAGAGTGGATGGCAATCTAGTGCTGAAACCAGGTACTGAACAAGTAATTATAAGTGTGATGAGTGTTTTGAAGGAAAAGTGCAAGGCTCTTTGGGAATGTAAAACATATTGAAGAAGGCCAGTAAGACTTTCCTGAGAGATAGACTTTCAGAAAATAATTTTCTCAAATTTTCACCATTATGTTTTACTTTTTCATGGTATATAGATCCATATTTCATTTCTTGTTTCTCTTCCATCATTTAAAAAAAAAAAAATCCTTAACCCTTTCCTTTGCCAGACTCTCTGTATTCTGGTCATCTTTCTATTTTGCTTTGGTACTACAGCCAACAAACTATCTTCCACTCTTTTTTTTCTTAATCTCCCTCTACTGCCCTTTACCCTTAGATTCCTTAGGACTCCCCTTATCCTAATAAAAAGTCCCTTTGATCCCTTGTAGTCCATCAGATTTCTTTACCATCCTCTCATTCATAAACTCCTGACATTCAACTCCTGATCATGCCACTCCACTGAAATGTTTTTCAAAAATTACCCATGAACTTCTACTTACTAAATATAGCAGTTCTTTCTGTCCCCACTCATTCCCTCTTGGTGTGCAATAAATGACCCTATTTACCACCTATTATTTCTGAAGCTCTCTCCACTCCTGGCTGTTCGTTCACAATTCTTCCACATTCCAGTTTCCCCCAACCTTCCTGATTCTTCCTTCTCCAGCTACCCTCTCATCCCCAGATGGACACTCCCTCTATCTCAGGCTTCTCCTTGTTCTATACCCTGTCCCATGGCTTCGCTTCACATGGATGTTCTGATTACTCCTTGCCCACACCTGCACACTTGACCTCATGTTCACTGCCACACTTACATTCCTGATAACCAGCTCCACATTTCTCCCTGTGTTGTCTTGCCAACATCACAAATCCAACCTTTTAAAGCAGAATTCCTTGTTTACTAATTCCAAACTTATCTGACTATGCTCCCTTTCTTGCTGATGGTACCCAGAGTGCAGTCATCTTCAATTTCTCCCTCTCCTACCTCCCACATTCAGTCACTCTGAGGAGCAGCAACTCTACATTCAGATTTTTTTTCCATCACCTCATTTCCAATCCCACACCACTGGACTCCACTACCTATGACCTCCATGACCTTGAGGACTTCATGACTCTAAAATAAATATATCACCTACACTCCAGGGAACTTCTACAAATTAAGTAAATAAATTATAGAAAGCACTTATATAATGAATTTTTTTTAACAAATTGTTAAAGGACAGAATGTTGCTCTGCTGCCCAGGCTGGAGTGCAGTGGCACGATCATAGCTCACTGCAGCCTCGACCTCCTGGGCTCAAAATAAGCCTCCTGCCTCAGCCTCCCAAGTAACTAGGACTACAGGCACACATGCCACTATGCCCAGAGAATTTTTTAAATTTTTTTGGAGATAGGGTCTGGCTACATCACCCAGGCTAGTCTCAAACTCCTGGCCTCAAATGTTCCCCCTGCCTCAGCTCCCAAGTCACTGGGATTACAGGTGTAAGACACCACATCCAGCTTTAATTTAATATATTAATATATAATAATATTAATTAATATAATAATTATAATTCACATATTGATCCCTGACATCTCAGTAACTTGGAGTTTTCGTTATTATAACTGGTTTCTTTGTCTAGGACCTCTCACCTCCCTAATATTTGCTAGTAAAGTTATCTTCCATAACATGCACCAGATAAAGTTCCTCCTCCTGCAAAATGTCCACTGGCTTCCCACTGTCTACTGAATAAGCTCAACTCCATAATATGATTTAAAGTCCCTCTATGGTCTCATTCCAGTCTTTACTACCTTCCACTCTCCCACAGGAATCCAGGAGTCCCTTGCTCTTAGCCACCAGGCACTGCTTGCCGCTCATTATACATACCACCTACTTTCACATCTTTTTACCTTTATTTACATTGTTTTCATGACCTAAAGCACTACTAGACAACACTTTGCCTCAAAATTCTCCACCTGTAAGGTTTGGCTTGAATGTAAACTTTTACTTGAAAGCCTTTTTAGATTCTTTCAGTTAAAATTAATGGTTCTGCCACAACAGTTCCCAGCATTATGAAGCTACATTCTTTATAGCACTTTTTTCACTGCCCAAGGTCTGATAATTTTTTCCCTGCTTCCCTTTCACAGCAGACTGTAAGCTCCACACGGATAAGAGTGGCCCCACAGCATCGGGGATGAGGCTTTGCACTTGGTAATAGGTACTCAGTAGATGTTGGGTGAATTTAAAAATATTAAAAAGTATGATGAAATTATAGGTGATATTAAATGTTTAAAAATATTTTTGCTACAATGGCTTTGAAGAACATTGAAGAAGAAGGCCAGTCAATTGGCCTTGATTGATCAAGCTTGACAGATTTCCCTTCATTCCTTGAGATGCTTGAGAAATTTGGTAAGCTGAGCCATGCAGTAAAATTACAAACAAGTCTCTACCTAAAAATATCTGGCTTTGATGATGCATTATAATTTCCGTCCATTTATAAATCATTTATTCTTAAGGTGTGGTTATTTGTTGCAGATCTCACAGACGATCTCTCTCTAAGTCATGACCTTAAACACTTATTTGGACCAGGAAATACCACAAGGTGATCCAACAGAATGGCCATTAAAAAAAGCAAGTGCAGTAGGAAACCAATCATTACAGCCAATTTATAGATGAATCAATTTATGCTGCTTTACCTTTTTATGATGCCTAATACTTTGATGGAAATTAAAAGCAGTAGTGATTATGTAGCATTTAATACTGTTCATCTTCAAAAAATTTTGCAAACATCAGTTACTGCTCACAGCTCATTTTAAGATAAGTAAGTCCCTAAAGAGAAAGGCATATCTCCATTTCACAGGTGAAAAAGAAATGGCCCAAAGAAGCTAATTTTTTAAAGCTTAAGAAAGTAGTGTTAAAATTAATGATCAAAATGTGTAAGTGTCTGAAGACCTACCTTGTTGAACAAAACCAACAAGGATGATGATGATGATGGCTAGTCTTAATTAAAAGGTTACTGTGGGCCAGGTGCAGTGGCTCACGCCTGTAATCTCAGCACTTTGGGAGGCCGAGGTGGGTGGATCAGGAGGTCAGGAGATCGAGATCATCCTGGCCAACATGGTGAAACCCCATCTCTACTAAAAATACAAAAATTAGCTGGGCGTGGTGGCACATGCCCGTAATACCAGGTGCTCAGGAGGCTGAGGCAGGAGACTTGCTTGAACCCGGAAGGCAGAGGTTGCGATGAGCTGAGACCACGCCACTGCACTCCAGCCTGGCAACAGATGAGACTCCATCTCAAAAAAAAAAAAAAAAAAAAGTTACTGTGAACCACCATCTTCCAGTAATTTACCACAACGATGACACACAAAGGGAAAGAGGAGAGGCACCTGATATTCTCTAGGTCTTTTAGAAAATATGGAGTTGTTCCTTTGGCCATATACATGTGAATCTACAAGAAGGGTGATGCAGACATCAGGGGAATGCATCTGGTTCAAAAAGGAATACCCCACAAACATTAACATGGGAAAAACAGAGGAGTCTACTGTGCTAGCCAGCAGGCTGTTGGCACTGTTGTAAACCAACAAGTTAAGTGCAAGATTGTTGCCAAGAGAATTAATGTGTTGAGCATATTAAGCACTCTAGGAGCCAAGATAGCTCCCCAAAACTTGAGAAGGAAAGAAAGGAAAAGAAAAAGAAGGAAGCCAAAGAGAAAGGAGCCTGAGTTCAATGGAAGCACAGCTGGCTCCACCCAGAGAAGTGCACTGTGAGAACCAATGGAACAGAGCCTGAGCTTCTAGAACCTGTTCCCTATGAATGCATGGCATAACAGGTGTTTAAAAAATAAAAGAGCTCTGGATTGTAAAAATATTTCTTTTCATTAAGCAGAAATGTGATGTCCCCTCCCCCAAAGAAATATTTTAACTTAAAAAAAAAAAAGGTTACTATGTGTCAGACTGAGTCATGTACCTTCCATCCATTATCTCGCTTAGTCCGCATAACAACTCTTAAAAGTTAGCTCCTATTTTTAACCTAACTTTATAGATGGGAAAAGGAAGATGAAGTAACTTGCCCAAGATTACATAGATAGGAAGTGGCCCAGACAGGATTTCAAAGCATGAGTACTTAACCACTATGCTATAAAATGAAAATCCTCAGAAACTATAAATTCATCAGACATGAAAAAGATAATACCAATATTGTGAATAAAAAGATTATAAAATAAGTGTTCTGTAAATATTCTTTAAAACTTGTACCATCACATTTTGTGAATAGAAAAATTATTCATGACACATCACTTAGTATATCAGGTAAGTTATACAATTCAACCCACGTTTTTTATGAATTCTCAATGAAGTTTCTTCTCATAAATGGAATAGCACCTTCAACTGGGCATGTTTAGGTGCTAATATCACATACTATTTTAAAAAACAGATGCCTTTTCAAATTGCTTCCGGATATACCCAGATATTTAAAACATCTATTTACAGACACAACTGTGTAAAGATAACCAGATTATTAAATCACATGTTAAACAAAGTTTTTCAAAAGTTAAAACTTTTGAAGGCATTACTGAAAAAAAAATGCTTTTTCTCACAAAAAGGCCAATTTATATGAACATATGTCTGTATAATATGTCAATGAGACAAAGAGTGGTGCAAAGAGAATCACTATAGAGCAAGGGCCATACAGTGGGGTTGGAGACCAGCTCTCTCATCTCTCTTTGTCCCTTAAATCACATACCAGGATATTCACATGTGATATATACCAAATTCTACTTTAACACATATGATTACAGAATTGTAGCAGTGGCATATCAATAATCATCTAATCTAGAGATTCTAAGGGCTTTCTGGGATCCACGGATGGACTCCAAGGAGCATGTGACAACCTAGCATTGTAAGCACTGCATTGGTGTATGTGTGGAGAGCGACACAGATAAGTTCATCCTCCAAGAAGTCCACAGCCCATAAATCCTTTCATCTGCTGCTGCACTACAATGGGATACTCTGTAATCAAACGATACTGTTGAAGACAGCCCTAAAAAGGGGCATAAAACATACTATACCAGTATTCAAACTTATCCATTTTAAAGATACATTCTTAAATTCCACTGCATTAAAAAATCATTACTTACTGCCAATACGAGCTCTCTGATGTTTTTCACATAGAGTGTCACATAGTCCTTGATGTAGATTGGCCGGTCAGTGATACTGATATGGTACCAATTCATCATCAGCGCCTCCTCATTTTCATTATTGCCACTCCATATGATGATAGAAGGATGAGATTTCAGTCTCTTGATCTGAAAATTAAGAAAATATAAAATGATTTTCAAAGAGTTAACATAAGAAACTCAGAGCTATAATTACTCATAAAATTAGAGCCCTTGCATTTTTGCACATAAATTCTTATGTGCCAAAAACCTAATTTGAAAATGGCTAGTCATGTTAGCTATAGAAATACATTTTAAGAAATCGCTGAGATTCTTTTTAACTAGATTTTATAAACACTGATACATAGGGTTTCTCTTCTCTGCTATACAAAAACTGAAGATAATATAACCCCTTTTTTAGAAAGAGAAAGAAAAAGGGAACGAATAAACTCATCATTACGTGGATTGCCACAAAGAAAACTTCCAGGAAATACAAAAGGCAGGAGACATTATATTTTGGGGATTGGTTCTTAACAGCAAATTGGAGTTCTGTGTGAACAAACAAATGAGGCAAAGCAATCACTACCACTGAAGGAGGGACAGAGGTTCCTGTGCAGGCTCCACCGAGATCAGAAAACCAGAAGGAGAACTAGAGAAGGTTTTACAAAGCAAGTGAGTACTAGAGGTATGCTGGCAGTTAAAGACAAATATGGAATGCTCTAAAGGAAAACAGATGAGGGCAATCAGGGTGATGTCTCCTGAAATAACTATCAATGTCATGTCCTGAGAAATCAACTAACATTAAGTTACTGAACATGTTTAAATATAAAAGGGAAAATTGGAGAATCCACCGCAAAACTGTGCCACATGAGGCCTGCATAAACTGAGCTCATCTGGGTTGGCCCTACATAAAGGCAAAAGGATCCACTTGTGTTATGTTTGCACTGGACAGACTCAGACATGTCCCTTCTTCTAACACACTAGGACATGTGCTCCAGTAGAGAACAATTCAATTCCTCTGAGAATGGCAGAGTGAATCAATGGTCAAGAAAAATTCTTTTAGAACATGTTTTGGCAATGTTACCTCATTGATATTTATAGGTTCACTTTCACTGTCATGCGTGATTACACTGATGGCCCCCCACTGATGCTCTCAATGTGTTCTCCATTCGAGAAGCTCAGAAACTCATATAGAGGAAATAGAGATGCACTGAAGGTATATTAAAGAGATATGCTTCATTTTTTTTTTAAAAAAAGTAAGTCTTGTGTTTTCTCAGCCAGCCATATGAACACTATTTCTTTTTTTGTCTTTGTAAATGCCCAAGAAAGGGACAGCTGCTACTAACTGTGACTGACATATTTATGCTACTGACGAAAATACAAATATAAATCCTTAAGTGGCAAAAAGCTTCAGTGACACCGTGTTACACACAACCTTTAAGCTGACTTAGAGTTTTATGGTAAGCTTTACTTTAAAATTTTAACAAACTCTGCATGAAATGGCTCTCCTTGTCTTTAATAATGCATCAAAGCACTGAAGATACATAGATGTTTTAATTATTTATATGAAAGAAAACTAAAAATAAAATTGAAATGTTTGCAACCTGTGTAACTATAATTAATATGTTTAAAGTTATTCATTCATCCACTCATCTATCCACTTCGTAAATAATCCACAGAGTAGGGACGCAGAGGGGAATGAGCCCTAGGACTCAGGGAGATGACAGTCTTGCAGAGGTGACCAATCTTTGAACAAGTAATTCAAAGTGTGATGTGTGTCTCAAAAGGCAAAAGGTTTTTCCCATGCTTAAGGTAAGAGGGGCCAAAGGAGAACAAAGGAGGTGGCCCACAAGGGCAGTGAACAGGGAAGATGTTCCAGGACATAGACAGCAAGACGGAGATGGTTCCTGAACAGGAGCAGACACCAGCTGGACGGGGTCCCGCACAAGAGGATCTTATACCTTATCCAGAGGGCAAGAAGCCACCTCAGGGGAACTGTTGGCAAGGGAAGGCATTTGATTGTACTTTTCAAACCTTTTATTTTAAAATGAAACACAGTTACAGAAAACAAATTATGATATGATGAATTATTATAAGGCAATCACTCTTGTAGCCACCACCCAGTGCAGCCACGCCGGAAGCCATCCATGTGCCTCTTCCTAATCACAGCCACTTCCTCCTTCCAAAAGTAACCACTATCTCGAGTTTTATAGTGTTATAGAAATCGCTTCCTTGCATTTCTGTATGGTTTTTCACAAAATATACATCTGTAGACACTATGTTATGAACTCTAGATTTTAACACACTTGATGGATTCAATTCATTGACGTCCTTATCCTTATTGAATCTCAAATTGTCCACCTTTCGGTTGCTCAGAGTCTCTCAAAAATCCTTTTGACATAACTTCGATAGCTTCCTTGTTATCTGCATGTTGAGATATTCCAGGATCAGGGTTCGGAGCAGGAATGTGGTATGACTTAAAATGTGTCAGTGGAAGATGACTTTGGCAGCTCTGTTGAGTATGCACATATTGAAAGAGACCAATACTATGTTTGAGGACAGGGAAAAATAAGATTTGAACTAGAGTAGTAAGTATGGGGATGAGAAAGTAAATACAAATACAAGTAACATTGGTATCAAAAAATTGTCTCAATTTTAAAACCAGGTGGATGTGGGAGGTGAGGAAGAAGAAAGTATCAATGACTTTCATATTTCCTGCTAAAAAGAAAAATCTTGAAAGAGTGCATTGGGTAAAAGATAGTAGATGTACTCTGAAGACATGCTAAGTTAGTGGGACAGCTGGTATTACTTGTTATTTCTTTTGTACTGCATGCCTTACATGTATTATCCTATTTAATCTTTGAAACAGTTTCACGAGGAGTGACATCATACTAGAGTTATAGATACAGAAATTGAAGCTCAAGAGGTAAAGTGACCTCCCTACGGTGGCAGACTCACCATTCAAGAAGAAATATCAAAAGATTTGTTCTTTGTATATCAACATTGCAAAAAATCTGGCAGACAGTTGGACACGTGAAATTGAAATCAAAGTCAATAATTATCCACAGTGTAGCTTCACCTGAGGTTACTGAGAAAACTGATTTGTTTCCTTCTTTAACATGTTGCAGAGCACTATAAAAACTCATATGTCTCCAGTCTTGTAAACGTTTTACAAAGTAGGGGTGATCTCCTGGTGCAGTGATCATTTCTAATGGATGCTAATGAATCAGTCCAATGTTTCAGTAGTATTTTACCAGCATATGATATACTCACAAGTTGGTTCCTAAACTGTATTTTGGGAGTACATCATGATTCAGAATTTTCTTGTATTGACAAGCATCCCACTCTGATTCCACATGGAAACCCATGCCATGCACTTAATATTTAGGGGAGAGGAAATATAATGCAATCTGTGTTTCAAAGCATGATCATCCCCTAAACAGACCTTGTTGCAAAAATAAGTATATTCAAAACACAGCTCATAAACCTCAGATCTGTGGCTAAAACTATCAGTTGATAATATTACATTAACACCATTGCCATTTGTAAAAAGAAGATATCCAGGATTATCTAATATATTTCCTGTGCCAGATCTGGAGTCAGCCATTTCTCTAAGAAGCTTTTCTCTTAACAGGAAAGATTACTTCAATATAAGAATATTCAACATTACAACACTGTCCATTATTTCTAGGTCTTTTCAGTAGACGGAGAAAGCATATAATCATTTCCTTGCATTTATGTATCTGTGAATATAAATATAAATGTCAATATGTAGAATCCAAAATAAATCAAGGAATCAACGACCAATTTAAACTTTTCTCCTGAGCAATCCAAACAGCGGTGTTACTGTTTGCTGAGATGGAGAAAACTCCAGAAGAAGCAAGATTGTCGGGGAGCAATATGAGTTTAGTTTGTACATGTTACACTTCAGATGCCTGTTAAACCTCCAAGCAGAGGCACCAGGTAGGCAGTTGGATATAAGAAAGAGGAATTCAGAGAGAAATCAGGACTGGGGATAAATCTAGGAGTCATCAGCCAATAGATGATGGTAAAGCCATGACACTGGGTAGAATCACCTAGATGTCAATTACCTGGCTGTGTAATATTTCATGGAATGTAGTAGAGAACAAAAACCAAAATGAAGCAAGATTTAACAAGAGGCAATACTAAAACATATTATGTGTTTTATTTCTTCTTGGAAGGGTAATAACATACCTGGTAGGCAACTTCTGCTCTCACTGAATCCAGGAAGCCCTGATCAGTTGGATAAAGGGCACAGGCAAACATAAAATCCTGCCATACCTAGCAAATCAAATAAAAGGGAATGCAACACTTCCATAAGTTTTATTACACAGAAGAAAGTCGTCATTCTGAGCTCTGGGCATTACCTTTAACACAAATGAAAAATTAAGTTAGCCTGATGAGTGTGATCATTGGGGCACCATTATGTATAAAGGCACCCAGGAAAGGTATCAAAAGACATTGAGACTTCCCAGCACTGCACAAAAGTGTACAGAAACCTGAGAAGAGAAAACCCTAGGCAGGTATAAAAGAAAGGGAAGACAGAAGAATTTGAAAAAGAAAAAAATGTGTGAAGGGGACATAGAATGAGGGTTCCCTCCAACCCCTCCTCACTTCTAATTCATTCCAATTTTCACCAGGCATTTGGTATTAAAAGATGCACCAGACTGTTAAGAATCATACTTCATTTATAAAGGAATTAGCTTTTCATAGACAAAAGGATTACTACATGCACACTTTAGTAATGAAACTATGTAAGTCCCTTCCTAAGGAGGCCATGTGATGCAATGGTTAAGAAAACAGCCCCTGCTGGGAGCAGTGGCTCACACCTATAATCCCAGAACTTTGGGAGGCTGAGGGGGGGCGGATCACCTGAGGTCAGGATTTTGAGACCAGCCTGGCCAAAATGGTGAAACCCTGTCTCTACTAGAAACACAAAAATTAGCCGGGCATGGTGGCACATATCTATAATCCCAGCTACTCGAGAGGCTGGGGCAGAAGAATTACTTGAACCCTGGAGGTGAAGGCTGCAGTGAACCAAGATCACACCACTGCATTCCAGCCTAGGCAGCAGAGCCAGACTCCATCTCAAAAAAAAAAAAAAAAAAAGTCATAAGCCCCCAAAGCAGCCTGTCTGAGTCAGAATTGGATTCCACCATAAACAGGCTGTTAGAGTTTGGGTAAAATATTTAACCTCTTCATGTGTCAGTTTCTTTATCTGTAAATGAGGATAGAGAATAGTAACTACCTCATTGAATGGGCATGAAGATAAAATACGTAGAGCACTTAGAACAATGCCTGTCCTGGCACTCAGTGAATATTATATAATAATGTCATTGTCACAATGACCATCAGCATTATCAATATTACTATAATTCCTTGTCTTCTGTGGCATTCCTTATATTTTAGAACACTAATAATAGAACTAACAGAATATATTTTCTTTGCTTTATCCTCACAATTGCAAAACACGTTAAAAGTACTTAATAACAATATTAGGGCCAGGTACAGCGGCTTGTGCCTATAATCTCAGCACTTTGAGAGGCCGAGGCAGGTGGATCACCTGAGGTCAGCAGTTCAAGGCCAGCCTGGCCAACACGGTGAAACCCCATCTCTACTAAAAATACAAAAATCAGCTGGATGCTGATTTACTAAAAATACAAAATTTAGCACACGCCTGTAATCCAAGCTGCTCCGGAGGCTGAGGCAGGAGAATCGCTTGACCCCAGTATAGGGAAAGGCGCAGTGAGCTGAGATTGCACCACTGCGCTCCAGCCTGGGCAATAGAGTGAGACTCTGTCTCAAAACAAATTAAAAATAAAAAATTAGAAAAAATTTAGAAAAACAATATGAAACACACCTTTACTTAATTTCATTATTTTTCTTCTCCTTTAGGTTTTGTCAGATCTCCTTTAAGTGTTTTAAATATTTTCTTTTATTTTCTATGCATACTTAAATATCACAAAGAAAATTATTTTAAAAGTAGGTATATGTATAGTGGGATATAAATAATTTACAGGATATCTATCATTTAAAAATAAATAATTATGGTAGTTGCAATCACCTGTGGCTCTGGGTTTACAAGATGCCATTTATTCCTATAGCCCCAAATGGAATATCTGGCTCTGAGACAGGGGCAATTGCATCATTCAGAACATTGGCAATCAAACTGAGGATAGAGTAACTTATCAATACATAAAATGCTATCAACTTCTCACCATTATTCCTAGTTCATCACAGAGTTCATAGAACTCATCCTGCTCATAAATTCCTCCTCCCCAAACCCGAAGAGTATTCATGTTAGCATCCACAACAGACTGTAAAAGGAGCCGTAACCTGTAGAAGACATTTTATAAACAAATCATAACTTGGAAAAAAAACAGATAAACACATTTCTAATCTCTGTTAGAAAAAAACACTCTAAAATCATGACGGTTTGGTTATAATGTAAACTAAAGGAAGTAATATAAAATTATATACACATTAAATAACCACATAAACAAACAGAAAACTTATGGGTGATATCTTTACCTATTATATTTTACCTATTTATTTTATTATACTCTTTTTAAAATTAAATTTATGTTTTATATTTATTCCTATAAAAAATACAGTTGTAAGCCTTGAAAAGTATGCACTAATTTTATACAAACCCTCCACACTATAAAACAAAATCAAGACTTGAGTATTAGTGCCTAGCACCTGTATTTCCTATTATACAATTCCTCCAGCCCGGTATTTATTTCTCTAGTAAATTTCCTTTATACTTTTTCCAATTCCTATTCACATTACCCTCAGGAAAATCTAGAAACTTATAGGCAGCTTGAGAGCATGCACCTTCCCTCCATCCCCACAACACTGTTCAAGCCAAATAACAGGATGGGCAGACCCAGAGCACTGAGGGCTCAGCACAGGCACCACGGCAGGCTCACCAATTGGACCAGCCGGGCTGAAGGACCACAGCCAACCCAGCCCCAGCTGGGAGGGGAGAGGAGCATTTGAAAAGGAAAAGATAGAGCCAATTATCCCGTGGCTGTGTCTGGAGAAGAATTTCATTTTCTTATGAAATCTAAAATAATATACACATTTTAAAATAAAAGAAAATTACTACAACTTTTGGAAAAAATCAGGTTTTAGTTACTGATCACATTTACATTCTAAATATCAAATGATATACTACAACGCACATTTCTACATTTGTAAATATGCTAAAATGTTATTTAATTTAGATAATAAATAAGTTTAAATGTGTTTATTTTCATTTCATAAAGTTTATTTTCAGCATCACAGAGATGTAAGTTTAGGTAAAAGTGGTTCCAAGATGGCCGAATAGGAACAGCTCCAGGCTACAGCTCCCAGCGTGAGCCACACAGAAGACGGGTGATTTCTGCATTTCCAACTGGGGTACCGAGTTCATCTCACTGGGGCGTGTTGGACAGTGGGTGTAGGAGAGTGGGTGCAGCCCACCGAACGAGAGCTGAAGGAGGGCGAGGCATCGCCTCACCCAGGAAGCAGGAAGCGCAAGGGGTAAGGGAATTCCATTTCCTAGCCAAGGGAAACCATAACAGACGGCACCTGGAAAATCAGGTCACCCCCACCCTAATACTGCACTTTTCCAAGGGTCTTAGCGAATGGCACACCAGGAGATTATACCCTGCACCTGGCTCAGAGGGTCCCATACCCAGGGGGCCTCCCTCATTGCTAACACAGCAGTCTGAGATCTAACTGCAAGGTGGCAGGCAGCAAGGCTGGGGGAGGGGCACTCACCATTGCTGAGGCTTGAGTAGGTAAACAAAGCGGCCAGAAACTCAAACTGGTGGAGCCCACCGCAGTTCAATGAGGCCTGCCTGCCTCTGTAGACTTCACCTCTGGGGACAGGGCATAGTGAAACAAAAGGCAGGAGAAATCTCTGCAGATTTAAATGTCCCTGTCTGACAGCTTTGAAGAGAACAGTGGTTCTCCCAGTAAGGAGTTTGAGATATGAGAACAGACAGACTGCCTCCTCAAGTGCGTCCCTGACCCCCGAGGAGCCTAAAAGGGAGGCACCCACCAGTAGGGGCAGACTGACACCTCACAAAGCCGCATACCCCTCTGAGACAAAGCTTCCAGAGGAACAATCAGGCAGCAACATTTGCTGTTAAGCAGTATTCACTCTTCTGCAGCCTTGGCTGCTGATATCCAGGCAAACAGGGCCTGGAGTGGACCTCAAGCAAACTCCAACAGACCTGCAGCTGAGGGTCCTGACTGTTAGAAGGAAAACTAAGAAACAGAAAGGACACCCACACCAAAACCCCATCTGTACGTCATCAAAGACCAAAAGTAGATAAAACCACAAAGATACGGAAAAAACAGAGCAGAAAAGCTGAAAATTCTAAAAATCAGAGCACCTCTCCTCCTCCAAAGGAACGCAGCTCCTTGCCAGGAATGGAACAAAGCTGGACGGAGAATGACTTTGACAAGTCCTGAGAGAAGAAGGCTTTAGACGATCAAACTTCTCCAAGCTAAAGGAGGAAGTTTGAACCCATCACAAAGAAACTAAAAACCTTGAAAAAAGATTAGACGAATGGCTAACTAGAATAACCAATGTAGAGAAATCCCTAAATGACCTGATGGAGCTGAAAACCGTGGCACAAGAACTACATGACAAATGCACAAGCTTCAGTAACCAATCTGATCAACTGGAAGAAAGGGTATCAGTGATTGAAGATCAAATGAATGAAAAGAAGCGAGATGAGAAGTTTGGAGAAAAAAGAGTAAAGAGAAACGAACGAAGTCCCCAAGAAATATGGGACTATGTGAAAAGACCAAAACTACGTCTGATTGCTGTACCTGAAAGTGACGGGGAGAATGGAATCCAGTTGGAAAACACTCTGCAGGGTATTATCCAGAACTTTTTTTTGCCTAGGCCCAACCTAGCAACGCAGGCCAACATTCAAATTCAGGAAACACAGAGAACGCCACAAAGATACTCCTCCAGAAGAGCAACTCCAAGACACACAATTGTCAGATTCACCAAAGTTGAAATGAAGGAAAAACTGTTAAGGCCAGACAGACAGAAAGCTCGGGTTACCCACAAAGGGAAGCCCATCAGACTAACGGCAGATCTATCAGCAGAAACTCTACAAGCCAGAAGAGAGTGGGGGCCAATATTCAACATTCTTAAAGAAAAGAACTTTCAACCCAGAATTTCATATCCAGCCAAACTAAGCTTCACAAGTGAAGGAGAAATAAAATCCTTTATAGACAAGCAAATACTGAGAGATATTGTCACCACTAGGGCTGCCCAACAAGAGCTCCTGAAGGAAGCACTAAACATGGAAAGGAACAACTGGTACCAGCCACTACAAAAACATGCCAAAATGTAAAGACCATCGATGCTAGGAAGAAACTGCATAAACTAACAAGCAAAATAACCAGCTAACATCATAATGACAGGATCAAATTCACACATAACAATACTAACCTTAAATGTAAATGGGCTAAATGCTCCAATTAAAAGACACAGACGGGTAAACTGGATAGAGTCAAGACCCATCACAGAGCTGTATCCAGGAGACTCATCTTATGTGCAGAGACACACATAGGCTCAAAATAAACGGATGGAGGAAGATCTACCAAGCAAATGGAAAACAAAAAAGAGCACAGGTTGCAATCCTAGTCCCTGATAAAACAGACTTTTAACCAACAAATACCAAAAGAGACAAAGAAGGCCATTACATAATGGTAAAGGGATCAATTCAACAAGAAGAGCTAACTATCCTAAATATATATGCACCCAATACAGGAGCACCCAGATTCAAAAAGCAAGTCCTTAGAGACTTACAAAGAGACTTAGATTCCCACACATTAATAATGAGAGACTTTAACACTCCATTGTCAACATTAGACAGATCAACAAGACAGAAAGTTCACAAGGATATCCAGGAATTGAACTCATCTCTGCACCAAGCAGACCTAATAGACATCTGCAGAACTCTTCACCCCAAATCAAGAGAATGTACATTCTTCTCAGCACCACATCGCACTTATTCCAAACTCGACCACATAGTTGGAAGTAAAGCACTCCTCAGCAAATGTACAAGAACAGAAATTATAACAAACTGTCTCTCAGACCACAGTGCAATCAAACTAGAACTCAGGATTAAGAAACTCAATCAAAATCACTCAACTACATGGAAGCTGAACAACCTGCTCCTGAATGACTACTGGGTACATAATGAAATGAAGGCAGAAAAAAAGATGTTCTTTAAAACCAATGAGAACAAAGAGACAACATACCAGAATCTCTGGGACACATTTAAAGCAGTGTGTAGAGGGAAATTTATAGCACTAAATGCCCACAAGAGAAAGCAGGAAAGATCAAAAATTGACACCCTAACATCACAATTAAAAGAACTAGAGAAGCAAGAGCAAACACATTCAAAAGCTAGCAGAAGGCAAGAAATAACCAAGATCAGAGCAGAACTGAAGGAGATAGAGACACAAAAAAACCTCCAAAAAATCAATGAATCCAGGAGTTGGTTTTTTGAAAAGATCAACAAAATTCATAGACCACTAGCAAGACTAATAAAGAAAAGAGAGAAGAATCAAATAGACACAATAAAAAATGATAAAGGGGATATCACCACTGACCCCATAGAAATACAAACTACCATCAGAGAATACTGTAAACACCTCTACGCAAATAAACTAGAAAACCTAGAAGAAATGGATAAATTACTGGACACATACACTCTCCCAAGACTAAACCAGAGAGAAGTTGAATCCCTGAATAGATCAATAACAGGCTCTGAAATTGAGGCAATAATTAATAGCCTACCAACCAAAAAAAGTCCAGGACCAGACGGACTCACAGCCGAATTCTACCAGAGGTACAAGGAGGAGCTGGTACCATTCCTTCTGAAACTATTTCAATCAATAGAAAAAGAGGGAATCCTCCCTAACTCATTTTATGAGGCCACATCATCCTGATACCAAAGCCTGGCAGAGATACAAAAAAAAAAGAGAATTTTAGACCAATATCCCTGATGAACATTGATGCAAAAATCCTCAATAAAATACTGGCAAACTGAACTCAGCAGCACATCAAAACGCTTATCCAGCATGATCAAATGAGCTTCATCCCTGAGATGCAAGGCTGGTTCAACATACGCAAATCAATAAACGTAATCCAGCATATAAACAGAACCAAAGACAAAAACCACATGATTATCTCAATAGATGCAGAAAAGGCCTATGACAAAATTCAACAGCCCTTCATGCTAAAAACTCTCAATAAATTCGGTATTGATGGAACGTATTTCAAAATAATAAGAGCTATTTATGACAAACCCACAGCCAATATCATACTGAATGGGCAAGAACTGGAAGCATTCCCTTGGAAAACTGGCACAAGACAGGGAAGCCCTCTCTCACCACTCTTATTCAACATAGTGTTGGAAGTTCTGGCTAGGGCAATCAGGCAGGAGAAAGAAATAAAGGGTATTCAATTAGGAAAAGAGGAAGTCATATTGTCCTTGTTTGCAGATGACATGATTGTATATTTTGAAAACCCCATTGTCTCAGCCCAAAATCTCCTTAAGCTGATAAGCAACTTCATCAAAGTCTCAGGATACAAAATCAATGTGCAAAAATCACAAGCACTCTTATATGCAAATAACAGACAGAGAGCCAAATCATGAGTGAACTCCCATTCAAAATTGCTTCAAAGAGAATAAAATACCTAGGAATCCAACTTACAAGGGATGTGAAGGACCTCTTCAAGGAAAACTACAAACCACTGCTCAACAAAATAAAAGAGGACACAAACAAATGGAAGAACATTCCATGCTCATGGATAGGAAGAATTAATGTCGTGAAAATGTTCATACTGCCCAAGGTAATTTATAGACTCAATGCCATTCCCATTAAGCTACCAATGACTTTCTTCACAGAATTGGAAAAACCTACTTTAAAGTTCATATGGAACCAAAAAGGAGCTGGCATTGCGAAGACAATCCTAAGCAAAAAGAACAAAGCTGGAGGCATCATGCTACCTGACTTCAAACTATACTACAAGGCTACAGTAACCAAAACAGCATGGTACTGGTACCAAAACAGAGATATAGACCAATGGAAAAGAACAGAGCCCTCAGAAATAATACCACACATCTACAGCCATCTGATCTTTGACAAACCTGACAAAAACAAGAAATGGGGAAAAGATTCCCTATTTAATAAATAGTGCTGGGAAAACTGGCTAGCCATATGTAGAAAGCTGAAACTGGATCCCTTCCTTACACCTTACACGAAAATTAATTCAAGATGGATTAAAGACTTAAATGTTAGACCTAAAATCATAAAAACCCTAGAAGAAAACCTAAGCAATACCATTCTGGACACAGGCATGGGCAAGGACTTCATGTCTAAAACACCAAAAGCAATGACAACAAAAGCCAAAATTGACAAATGGGATCTAATTAAACTAAAGAGCTTCTGCACAGCAAAAGAAACTACCATCAGAGTGAACAGGCAACCTACAGAATGGGAGAACGTTTTTGCAATCTACTCATCTGACAGAGGGCTAATATCCAGAACCTACAAAGAACTCAAGCAAATTTACAAGAAAAAAACAACCCCATCAAAAAGTGGGCAGAGGGGCCGGGCGCGGTGGCTCAAGCCTGTGGTCCCGGCACTTTGGGAGGCCGAGACGGGCGGATCACGAGGTCGGGAGTTCGAGACCATCCTGGCTAACACGGTGAAACCCCATCTCTGCTAGAAAGTACGAAAAACTAGCCGGGCGAGGTGGCGGGCGCCTGTAGTCCCGGCTGCTCGGGAGGCTGAGGCAGGAGAGTGGCGTGAAGGCCCGGGAGGCGGAGCTTGCAGTGAGCTGGGATCCGGCCACTGCACTCCAGCCTGGGCGACACGGCGAGACTCTGTCTCAAAAAAAAAAAAAAAAAAAAAAAAAGTGGGCAGAGGATATTAACAGGCACTTCTCAAAAGAAGACATTTATGCAGCCAACAGACACATGAAAAAATGCTCATCATTACTGGTCATCAGAGAAATGCAAATCAAAACCGCGATGAGATACCATCTCACACCAGTTAGAATGGCAATCATTAAAAAGTCAGGAAACAACAGGTGCTGGAGAGGATGTGGAGAAATAGGAACACTTTTACACCGTTGGTGGGACTGTAAACTAGTTCAACTATTGTGGAAGACACTGTGGATCCTCAATTCCCCAATTCCCCAAGGATCTAGAACTAGAAATGCCATTTGACCCAGTCATCCCATTACTGGGTATATACCCAGAGGATTATAAATCATGCTGCTGTAAAGACACATGCACACGTATGTTTATTGCGGCACTATTCACAATAGCAGAGACTTGGAACCAACCCAAATGTCCATCAATGACAGACTGGATTAAGAAAATATGGCACATATACACCATGGAATATTATGCAGCCATAAAAAAGAATGACTTCATGTCTTTTGTAGGGACATGGATGAAGCTGGAAACCATCATCCTCAGCAAAGTATTGCAAGATCAGAAAACCAAACACTACATGTTCTCACTCATAGTTGGAAATTGAACAATGAGAACACTTGGACACAGGAAGGGGAACATCACACACTGGGGCCTGTCGTGGGGTGGGGGGAGGGAGGAGGGCTAGCATTAGGAGATATACCTAATATAAATGACGAGTTAATGGGTTTAGCACAGCAACATGGCACACGTATACATATGTAACAAACCTGCACATTGTGCACATGTACCCTAGAACTTAAAGTATAATAATAAATAAATAAATAAATAAATAAAAAGATATAAATTTACAGATCCAATTAGGAAATATTATTTTCTTCCAAAGTTCTATTTCTTCAGTCTCAGAAAAACATTTTTAATTTTTTTCCTAGATCTAGAACTTTTAAGATTATATTTTGTTTTTAAATAAATTGTATTTTGTATATTTAAGGTATATGACATGATGTTATGGGATATAGATAGATAGATAGATAGATAGATAGATAGATAGATAGATAGTTAAAAGGTTACTATAGTGAAACAAACTAACGTACTTACCATCCTATAATAGGGGTCCCAACCCCCAGGCCACGGACTGGACCATGGATCAGGTAGCACAGCAGGAGGTAAGCAGCAGGTGAGCAAGCATTACTACCTGACCTCCTGTCAGATCAGCGGCAGCATTAGATTCTCATAGAAGCAAGAACCCTATTGTGAACTGTGCATGCGAAGGATACAGGTTGCGTGCTCCTTATGAGAATCTAATTCCTGATGATCTGAGGTAGAAGGGTTTCATTCCAAAACTATCTCCCCACCCCCCCACCCCCTACCCCTAATCTGTGGAAAAATTGTCTTCCACGAAACTGGTTATTGGTGCCAAAAATATTTGGGACTGCTGTCCTACATAGTTAGCCACTCTTTTTTGCTTTTGTGGCAAAAGTAGCTAAAATCTAATCATTTAGCATGAATCCTATAAAGAGCACTTTTTTTTTTTTTTTTTTTTACCTATATTCCTAGTGTACATTAGATCTCTGGGCTTGCTCACCTGTATATCTGCTACATTGTATCCTCTGACCATATCTGCTACATTGTATCCTCTGACCAGCTGGCTCCCAGTTTCCTCCCCACCCTCCCACAACCGCACCTCCATAACACACAAGATTTTTTTTTAGTTCTTTTGTTAAGATAAAGGTAAAAGAATATGCAAATACCTTAGCATAGAAAGGTAAATATTGGAGTGGGCCCCGTGGCTTACACCTATAATCCCAGCACTTTGGGAGGCCGAGGCAAGTGGATCATTTGAGTTCAGGAGTTCAAGACCAGCCTGGCCCACATAGTGAAACCTCGTCTCTACTAAAAATACAAAAATTAGCTGGGCAGTAGTGGCCTGCGCCTGTAATCCCAGCTACTTGGGAGGCTGAGGCAGGAGAATCACTTGAGCCTGGGAGGCGGAGGTTGCAGTGAGCTGAGATTCTGCCATTGCACTCCAGTCTGGACAACAAAGTGAGACTCTGTCTCAAAAAAAAAAGAAGAGAAAAAAAAAAGAGGAAAGGTAAATATGTGTTCTTATCTTTCAAAACCATGCTCAAAAACATTTAAGGTATCATTTGAAAAGATGAAAATAGTTGAATTTAATATTTTTTTCAGGAACTATTCAAAATACTAATTAGTCATTTTCTTATTTCTCCAGAGTAAACATATAATAGTTTTCTAAAATTGAATGGCTTCAACAGTCTCAAATAGTTTAGCTCTAAGACCACCTGTAGCCCAGGAGAATGGAATATATGATTTTTAAAATCCTATCCATTCTAAAGTTTCCATCATCTAGAATTCTATACTACCTGTTAGTTCCTTACCCAGGGACTAAAGAAAGTAAAAATGAGTAAATCTCAAGCTTTGCCAGACTTTTAAAGAGGAACAAGAAAAGAAAGACAGTAACTCACAACTCAGAGGTTACTCGGTCCTGGAATGAATCTGCTGGGATCCAGTTTGAGCCTTTTAGAAATACGGGAAATCCATTAATTTTGAAATAGAAACTCAAACCAGGAGACCCTTTTATGGGCTCTTCTATAAGTTCCACTGTCCTAAAATAAACCTGCAATGAACAGAATTAAATGATGAATATCAAATTTAAAACATAAGCAAAGTAGTTTTTTAAAAAAAGAAGCAGACCTTTTTGAAAAATGTACATTCAGTAGTTTAATGTAAATTTTCCTATTTACTATGAAGCACATAATGTGGAAATGTACATTTCAGGAATATACACATATAAATTATTGCTAGCATCTGTTATTTCTCTTTTAAAAGAGAAATATAGAAACTACTAAAGAGCTACTGTAGTCTTCCACATGAAATAGGCATTTGTGATAACATCAAAAAAGACAATTTGAAGATAACATTTCTAAATTAAAACAAAAACATGCTATTTCAAAAAAATAGAAAAAAATGCTGTCTTTGAAAAACACATTCTCATTTCAGTGTGTTAAAAGGTAGCCAAACATGCATCTTAGAATCAGATATTATAACTTAACAACTTTGCAATCTTAATAACACATTACCATAAAATCGCTTTGTTTAATGGGTAATTTAATCCTAATTACACATGAAACTCAATGTTTGAGCACGCTCTGATTTGTTGACTGGAGATGTATGTGGTGTTCTAATGGAAGTAGATGGGGCAGGAGCATGCACTCTGTGCTGTTGGTGCTCTGGAGAGGAAGCAGAGGCCCCATCCTGGTGACAGCCCAGCCAGGATTTCCCCCAGTTAAGCATGGGCAGCAAGACCCCAGATAGAGAAGCTTTGACGTTTTTATCAAAATCTTTATTCTTGCCAGCCATAAATTGGATCAAGTTTATATGATAACATTTTATACCAATAAAGCATAGCCTTAAGCCAAAAGCACACATTTCTCTAATTTAAAAAATCAGTGAATGAATTAGTCAAATTATTTCATGTAATAAAAGTGTCCACCATTCTGCTTCCTGACTCCTGCCTTTATTTATATGAAATGACAAAAGATATCAGAATCAACTTTACAAGAAGATACAGAATATGTCCTGGATAAGGAGGATCTTGACACGCGATGATCACTCCTGCTTCAGGGCTGCAAAATGTCAAGAATGCACAGTGATTTTCAGAGGTGACTTTTAAAACACCATTGATGGTGGGTTCCAATATCTAGAACAGTGCGTGGTCCTTTAAGTGTGGCCTGGGGACTCCAGGAGGTCCCTTGGAGATTTTCAGTGGGTCCTTGACTTAGAGTAAAACTAAAACACTATTTGCCTTTATCTCTCTCAGTCTCTGAGTGTCAGTGGAATTTTCCAGAGACTACATGATGTGTGCCTACTTCATCACTCTGACAGCTAATGGAATGTGTGCTGTGTATTCCATTGTGATGTAGCTCTGTGGCAGAGGTTTATGGTATGAAGCAGTGCATTTTCAGAGATTAACTCAGTTTGTTCTCAGTACTTTTACTGTGCTCTTACTATTAATAGCTGTCTTTGATTATTCCTGCTATAATCTCTGTACCCTCATTGTTGTTCAATAAATTCTTACTTTGAACCCCAAAGTTTCCCTTGCAAACTACACAGAAGCACAAAAGGAGTAGGTACTACTCTTCACAGCAATATTTTCAAGTTTTCAAATAAAAACAAATTCTAATTTTAATTGAAACTCATTTTACACTTTAGTAATATTTTATCTTGTTCTAAAAGAAAATTTATTTATAATACTTTTTTCTAATTTAGGGATGAATTGTCAAAATGAGATCAGAAGGCTTACCTTCTCACTAGCCTGGCCAACATGGTGAAATCCTGTCTCTAATAAAAGTACAAAAATTAGCTGGGTGTGGTGGTGCATGCCTGTAATCCCAGCTACTTGGGAGGCTAAGGCAGGAGAATCACTTGAACCCAGGAGGCGAAGGTTGCAGTGAGCCAAGATCATGCCATTGCACTCCAGCCTGGGCTACAGAGCAAGACTCCGTCTCAAAAAAAAAAAAAAAAAAAAAAAAAAAAGAAGGCTTACCTTCTCAACCCATAACTGCACTATCTGTCTATAAGGTTGCTGAAAAAAGTGAAACTGACATATCAGACAGTCTTTTGACTCATGGAAGGGAAGAATCTACTCTAAAGAAACTGGGTAAAATTATGAATAAGAAGTGAAATTATGATGAAAGTCATCTTTCTCTCAACTTTATGGATGTTAATAACTTATCTTTTTGTGCATTATGCAATGAAACATTTTAAAATAATATTTATGGTGCCAGTTAAGTTGTAGTGTCTCATTGAGACGAATCATTCACAGTATGAAGAAAAGAGAATTGAATATTTAAACTTATACATGATAAGCTCATTAAAAGTCAAACCGTGTTTATTACATCTTTTCAAACCAGACATGAAAAACCCACTGGAGCATCTTACAGGGTTAGTTATGCACTCCTGGCTGGAGAAGTACACATACTAGCTGAGAGATAGCTGTACTGTTCACATTGCAGAATGCTTACTAGATGAAGAGTCAGCAAAGGAAATAACAGCACTGCCACTTTGCAATGACAGAGTAACTCGTCCAGTTGAGAGATTTGACTGCAGTATGAAGACTGGCCTGATATCTCATCTGAAATAATCATACTTTTGCTTTACAAATGAGTGAATCTCCAGATATAGATGGACTTGCCAGTTTGCTTGTATTTGTATGTTATCAACACAATAAATCATCAAAAATCTTCTTTTCTGTGAATTTTTGGCAACAATACACAAGAGGTGCTGAAATATTCAAATTACTAAATAACTTTTTGAATCTCAGGGTTATCCTGTAATTACTGTGTTAACATTGGCACCGATGTTACAGTGGTAGGTAACACTGCTGCTGCCTTAGCAGGAATCAAGGCAGTAGCTCCAAATTGCTAGTAGTCGTTACATCTTTCACCTTCATGTATTAGCAGGAAAATGAAAAAAGCCAGTTTCACTTACGAATGTCCTTGATAAAGCAGTAAACATTAATTTCATTAAATCCCAACCCTCAGTATGCATAATTTTAATACCCTGCATTATGAAATGAGCAATACCCATAAAGCACCATTCACAATAGATAGCTGGAGGAAAAGCCTCTGGGCCTTTATTAGAGTTGTATGTAAGCTGAATTGGCCTTGTTCATGACACCCCATTTTTACTTGATAGAAGGCCTGACAGACAACCGATGGTTATTTAGACTTGGACACTTGGCAGACATTCTCTAGAAATGAATGAAGTGAGCCTATCATTTCAAGGAAAACAACTGGCACTGTTTGTGGCTAAGGATAAAACTCAAACTTTCAAGTAAAAATTGGGATTAGGGAAAACTTGTATCTACTACCTGATGGTAGTAGATACTTACTTAAAAACTTTTTAGATGTCAATTTTGGCTTTTGTTGCCATTGCTTTTGGTGTTTTAGTCATGAAGTCCTTGCCCATGCCTATGTCCTGAATGGTATTGCCTAGGTTTTCTTCTATGGTTTTTATGGTTTTAGGACTAACATTTAAGTCTCTAATCCACTTTGAATTAATTTTTGTATAAGGCGTAAGGAAGGGATCCAGTTTCAGCTTTCTACTTATGGCTAGCCGGTTTTCTCAGCACCATTTATTAAATAGGGAATCTTTTCCCCATTTCTTGTTTTTGTCAGGTTAAACTAAACAGCTACTGCACAGCAAAAGAAACTACCATCAGAGTGAACAGGCAACCTACACAATGGGAGAACATTTTGCAATCTACTCATCTGACAAAGGGCTAATATCTAGAACCTACAAAGAACTCAAACAAATTCACAAGAAAAAAACAAACAATCCCATCAAAAAGTGGGCAAAGGATATGAACAGGCACTTCTCAAAAGAAGACATTTATGCGAAAAAATGCTCATCATCACTAGCCATCAGAGAAATGCAAATCAAAACCACAATGAGATACCATCTCACACCAGTTAGAATGGTAATCATTAAAAAGTCAGGAAACAACAGGTGCTGGAGAGGATGTGGAGAAATAGGAACACTTTTACACTGTTGGTGGGACTGTAAACTATTTCCATTGTGGAAGACAGTGTGGCGATTCCTCAAGGATCTAGAACTAGAAATACCATTTGACCCAGCCATCCCATTACTGGGTATATATCCAAAAGATTGTAAATCATGCTGCTATAAAGACACATGTACATGTATGTTTATTGAGGCACTATTCACAATAGCAAAGACTTGGAACCAACCCAAATGTCCATCAATGACAGCCTGGATTAAGAAAATGTGGCACATATACACCATGGAATACTATGCAGCCATAAAAAAGGATGAGTTCATGTCCTTTGTAGGGACATGGATGCAGCTGGAAACCATCATTCTCAGCAAACTATCACAAGAACAAAAAACCAAACACTGCATGTTCTCACTCATAGGTGGAAATTGAACAATGAGAACACTTGGACACAGAAAGGGGAGCATCACACACCAGGTCCTATTGTGGGGAGGGGGGAGGGAGGAGGGATAGCATTAGGAGATACACCTAATGTAAATTACGAGTTAATGGGTTTAACACACCAACATGGCACATGTATACATATGTAACAAACCTGCATGTTGTGCACATGTACCCTAGAACATAAAGTAAAATAAAAAAAAACTTTTTAGATGACATCAGTGGTGATATTAACAAATGTGATATTATAAAAGGAAATGTTTCAACATGTAGAAGATTTGTAACTCTCAAGAAACATTTTCCAAGAAACAAACATTTTCCAATAACCAATGCCTTACATTACAATATCATATAATATGGGTAAAGAATTCAAACAAAGTGCAAGATAGACTAATGGATTTTAACGTAAGAGAGAATAAAAAGTTCATTGGTTAGTTGCAATTCACACTGGGACTAACCTTTAAGAAACTATCATTTGTTAAAAGAAAATCCACAATTTATCTGAAAAGACTATTTTTTCCCTTTTCCAAGTATATCTGTGTGAGGTCAGATTTCCTTAATCTGTTTCAACTGAAACAACATATTGCAAATTGACTGAAGGCAGATACAGATGAGAATCCCTTTGTCTCCTACTAAACAAGACATTAAAGTGACTTGCT